TTTTATTTAAATATATAATTATTAATCTAAATTATATTGGATTAAGATAAAATTTTATATATAAACTTAAAATTAGCTAATTAATAATATATAGGATTTTTATAAGATTAGATATAAAATTATACTAGTAGTGATTCTTTTCTTTTCGCCTATACGTCTTCTAAAACCCCGCCGAGTAGTGAGGACAGAGTAGTAGCTTGCAACTCGAAGATCAAAGTGAGTTCATCGAGCACGCACATTCACATCCACATCCACATCAGATTCACAGTCAAGCTTGTAATGGTTTCATTAGCTATGTTCGTTCTTATCCTATATCTGGAAAGCAAAAAAAGAAGTAGTGAATGACATATACGAGATGATGCAGAGAAATCCTGCAAAAGCGAATCCTGCCCATACATATTTTACCCCCAGATCTGTCATATCTTTATAGAGAGGAGTGGGCCGATTCATTCGTCAAACAGCTTACAGTCAATATACATTCCAACGCCGTTGTTTTGTGCCCTGCTAGAGTTCGGATGCCCAAGTAGACCTGACCGTGATCGCCTTTTTCTAATTATACACTTTGTACATCATGATTCTTCCGCTTTATTTTCCGTTCCTCCCCCAGTATGTGCGTGTTTTTCTCGCTCCATGGCGCCGAGCAATGCTGATTTGCGTTTCGTCTGCGGAAAAGCAGGTTTTGGTTTAGAATGTTCAACGGTTCTTGACAACTCCGACTTCGGCAGCTCTTAATATTCTTCCGTTGAGCTTGTATCCCTTCTGCTGGGTAATGAAAACGGTTCCGTTCTCCTTTCCTGCCATGGGAGTCATGAATGTAGCCTCGTGTTCATGTGGGTTGAATTTCTCGGACTTCACTGAAGGATCGAATCTCTCCACGCCGTGCTTCTTCAATGTTGACATGAGGATATTCTCGGTCATCTTCAAGCCCTCGTGTAATGCAATCAAATCTTGTTGATGCTCATTTCGTTCTTCGGCAGAAATGGAAAGTTTCTCTGCGGGGACGGTGGTAAGGGCTCGGTCGAGGTTATCTGCGGTGTCGACGATATCTCTGGCAAATCTTTGTATGGCGAAGTCTTTAGCTTCTTGCATATCGCGGTTCGTGCGATCTTGGAGGTTACGAAAGTTGGCGATGGCGCGGAGGAGCCTGTCCTGTGATGTGGGGTTAGCCAGTTGTTCTTGGGCACTTTAGGCATTTGCAAATCTTTTGCCACCAGCTGAGCTTCGCAACCTTATATTCCATAGTATCGTGATCGCAGTAATCATTGTAATTGATGTACGACAGCAGTATAGCAGCAAAATGGTTCTGCCAGAGAGGAAATACAAACCTTCAATTCAATATTATCCCTATCTTTTGCCTGCAACTGCTTCTCCAACTCCTTCTTCGCCGGGTCCTCTACTTGTACAGCCTTCGTCTCTGCCTCTGCCTCATCCTTCTCAGCCTCTGGTTCTGTAGCATAAAATCTTCTTCCTTGAAACTGCCTCGACGCTACTTGCGCTGCCAGCGGAGTGTTATTATGGAATTGCGATCGCAATGATTGCCTTGCAGCTGAGCTGCGAAGAGAAGAGCTTAAAGCTCGGGATGATTGGCAGAGTAATGTTCTTGAATTCATTTTGTCGTTGTTGTGAGGTTTGGTATGAAGGCGAATTGAGTAATTGAGGGCTGAAATCTTTGAATGAATGATGGGTGACATCGGGATGGAAATTTTTAGTACTGTATGGCTTTGGGCGGTCTCGGATGGCAATACTTTTCTTAGATCTGACGAGACGACATACTTCTTTGAGTTTCCACATATCACATATCACCTCATCAGCCACCCAACAACAATCAGATTTCCCTCCTATGTATACTTCTAACAATGTGCTAGGTGGGAGTGCTGCAAGGTAATAGAGGATCTTTCAAGTATCAGATCTGCTTCATTAGAATGGCTACAATGTAGGCTTATAGGCTACATTTACCTCGGGTTATCCTGAGTACTTCTGCTATCAAGATATGTGGCATTAAGGATTTGACTGGTGGTTCTTTGCTGGAATCAATTCTAACTGAAACTGCAAGGTAATAGAGGGGCCGGGCTATAACAACAGATGTATAATTTCAAGTTACAGATCTGTTTTATTAGAATGATTACAATGTAGACTCATAGGCTACATTTACCTCGGGTTATCCCAAGTACTCCTGCTGTCAAGATGTGTGACATTAAGGTTTTGAGGTTTTGACTGGTGGTTCTTTGCTGGAACCAATTCTAGTAGAAACTACCTAGTATGCAAAGGCTCTTCGCACAATCAAAGTTCACTTTATCACTTAAAAACATATGTTATCCAGGCTCGTTACCGGACATGTTTACTCCATATAATTTGTATACAACCATCTGTGGTATAGCTCTGGTTCTGTTGAAGTTCTTCCTGTCCTTGTGATCACGTCTTATACCAAAGAGTTGTCAAAGCAGGTAAAGAAGACCAGACTAGATGTAAGTTTGGATATTCAGGTAGTTCTTGTGAGCATCTGAATACATTTCAATACTAATACTGCAAAGTTTAAACCAGTGACAGAAAGAGGGCATTAAGCATATCTGATTGCTACACTCCAATGCATCAAGCAGCATGTCTAAACTCCAAACTACTTTTCCATCATATGGGCATCTCTCACTGTCAGCTGGTGAATTAATGATATCCTTTATCATTAGGGTTTGTTTATTTCCAAGGGCACATGGCAATAGCAACAGCAACAGCAACAGTACCTACTTTTATATCAGCATTTATGCACACACTTGCAGTTTGTATTGGAATTCACCTTTCACTTCCAATACTTCTCCTTATGTTTACCGAGATTGCTCACCTAATATAGGGCTGTGAGGGGTTATGATTGGACTTAGAAAAACTACTTCATTTTAATTAAAAGTCACATTCACCTGTCTTCTATTCACTTTCTCGGTTAACCAATTCTTGAATGTATACTTCATTTGATGAATTTCGGTTGGAAGTAAATTTCTTTCAACTTAGATCAACTTCAGTTCTCTTGAGAGTTTTTATCATCGAGACATTCACATCCATCCAACGACTGTTTCTTGTATATTTCCTTCCCCAACAAGTGTAAAAATGGAGCCAAAAGAACAACTACCACCAAGTGAGTATTCAATCTGAATGAAATTTGTTCTTTTCCCACATGGGGCAATAAGATCATAAAATCAAAGTGAACCAATTTGGTGTTAACAAGATTGAATCAAAATTGATGCTAAGACAAGATCCTCGAGCATCTCACTGCCCCGTTTACAATATCAAATCAAATTGGTGCTAAGATAAGATCCTCGAGCATTACAAGATTGAATTAAATTTGATGCTAAATGATCCTCGAGCAATCTCATATCTCACTGCCCCACGTGGAATGGCTTCAAAAATTTTACTGACTTATTTTCTTTTCTAGATGGAAGCCAGACTGGTACTCCTTCAAAGACAACAACTTCTCCCAATTCTTCAAAAGAGAATTCTGTTGGTAGATTGACTGTAAGTATTATTCTTCCTACACCTCACCTTCATTTTGTACCATCTTCTTAATTTTTACTATCACGCTTTCATACCTCACACTTTCAATCCTCACTCCTTTACAATCTGCAGCGGTGGTACTGTTCTCAACTTATCACTGCCACTCCAACCTTATAACAGGCCTTTTGCTAACTTCACCTCAAGCGTCAATCATCAATTCGAACACCGATAGAGAGGGCTTTGCCTCTGCGCATGACCAGCGAGGAGTTTGAAGCCTTTTCTCAACAAGTTGGCAATATTTCACTAGAAGAAGCAAAAGATCACCTCCAAAACCTTGGTCCTGTACCTACACTACCTGAGTAAGTTTCCTCCCTATCTTTCTACCCCCTTCATTCATTTCAACTCTATTCTGTCTATCCGCAAATTGTTTACATGTCGATGCGTTTATTCTTCATTGTTTTGAGTTGTTTGTTTACATGCGACCATCAAAATGCTGTTTAATTTATGCTTCATCATTCAACTCCTCTTTCCACCACACCTTTTCTGTCTTCGCTGAGCTGTCTCTCTATTCATACTACTACATTGCTTTGTTCGAATGATAGCTTTCTATTAGCAATTGCTCCATATACACCGCTTCTGCTTCTACTGGTGCTTCTCTCGATAGCTGCCATTTCTCGCACTTCTCTCGAATATTTTAGAGCATAGCTAACCTCAACAATCAGTCCCGTGGAGATGAGCAACCGCAAATTGATAGAAAAAGAGGAAAATAAGACCATCAGACGCGATTCTATTAGCTTCCTGAAGCGTCGTACTTCTGAGCGCAAGACCAACCTCGGCACACCAAATTTGACAATTACAACCGAAAGTGTTAGAACCCCGCCAGCCACTTCTACCGCACCACCCGACTCCTCTACGTCCGTAGATATGGCTCCACCAGTCTTGCGTTCCAGCTCTCCCGCCAATACGGCCGCTTCCCCTAGAACTCCTCAATCCAATGGAGTCCAGATCAACCAAGCCCGTGGTGAACCGCTTACAATGCATAGTGGACTTGTTGGCACCTCTGGCCCGGCTTCAAGCGTTCAACAATCTTCTACTAGCCAAGCTCAAGGAAATGGACGTCTTACTCATAATATTCTCCCTTCATCTACTGGACCAGCTACACTAGCATTCCCTCCTCGTGTTCCCAGCATGACCCAACCTCTTGTATCCCAATCTCAAGGAGTACATGGTTGGACCGCACCAGCCGCAACCACTGGTTGGGTCAGCGATCCTTATGCTGAAAACAACGGAACCCCACCAGCTTCGGCTGGCACGCGAGCCCAGGGACTATCCTCTTGGCAGAATCAGGGTGCTAGCTTGCCAATTCCCCCTGTTGTACCATCTCAGAACCAACCAGTCACTCGTGAGTTTTTCTCTTTTCTTACATGACAGCTACTCATACCCGTCTACCACTTTTCTCGTTTCCCTCATATATTCCTTTTAACATGCCTATACTTATATAACTCTAGTGGAATGGTTGTACGCAGCCCCTATTCGTTCTCCCATTGCTTCCACAGCCAACAGTCGAGAGACAACACCTGATCTTGTCTGGAGCAGTGAAGGTAGCCCCGAGTTCGAGCCAGGCAAGAGAAAGGCCAAGATCTCCAACGTTAGTGAGGAGCTTGAACACAAGAAGTTGAAGCATGATGATGATGATGATGATGATGATGATGAAGGTGCTGATCGTGAAGCTAATCATGATGCTGATCATGGTGCTAATAGCTCATCTCCGCAACAATAAAGGAAACCCAGAGACATCGACGGCGGATAGATAGAAAGATAGATCGGATCAACTTGCACGCACAATTCAGACTTTGTCAACTGGTCTGGATTCCAATCTTTTTGGTCGCATCACGCTACTTCCGCATCTCCGACTTCGTCAACCGATCTGATCTGGACGTCACTTCTTTCTTTTACTTTCATCACTTGCAAGCTTCTCCTTTTTCTTTTGCAACACACTGTTTTCAAAGCCATATACCCCGGCGTTGAGTGCATCTTTCATACAAGTTCTTTCGCATCATCTCTCTCACGGCGACTTCCCATTTATCAACCATTCTATGGGGGAGCTAGGTTGATGGTTCCTCCTTCCATTGGTTTATTCAAAGATCTTGCTTTACATTTGCCAGCGTCTGAATGGAATCTATCTAGGTGGATACTTGATACTTTCTCTTTTTGAGTTCTCTTTGGTTTTCATGGAGATGGAGGTGTTCTGTTTTGTTTTCTTCTTTTACTTTTGCTTTGCTTTGCATTTCATTCTACGTCAATAAAATTACGCTTGAGCACCATAGACAAGATAGACAAGACAAGCGATAGCTTCTGCGCTTCTATACTTCGTCTCACCTAGTTGAATTGCTCGCAGGATGAATGGATGGATGCATGCATGGATTGAAATCGTTGAAGGAAAATTCACATACCCGTTACGGACATGATGGAAGCTGAGATTCAAACATAGAGAGAGGTACTCCATAGACAGACAGATAGTACAGTACTTGAGAGAGAAATTTGACATGGAACTTTATTACAAAACTATTGTTTGCACAAGATGAGAAAGATGTCATCTTGCTTAGCTTGATTCCTGCGTGACTATACTATGTGACTGCTTCCACTATGATAAATACTGAGTGTGGATTGGCGAACAGAAGAATAGAGAGATTAACTACTCGAGTACTATGGTTAGGTTAGTTTAATACTGTTAAGAGTAAGTAGATATAATTGTAATAACCACATATTGATTCCGCTAAGAGATGAGACAGACATATCTATCCATCAGCCTTACCTCAAAACCCGCCTCCATACCATAAACGATACCATAGACCACACACACACCAGCTCGTCTCTATTTCACCATTCCCCATTTCTCCTCCTAACTCTCCTCACCCTCCCCAACAATTTCCTCATATAAAAACTCTCAATTCTTTCCTATTCATTTTGATATTACAAAACGCATCACATCACATCACATCACATCCAAGTCAAACCCTTCAAATTCACATTCTTACATTCTTACATTCTCAGTGGGTATTTATTTATTTATTTGCTCTAGCTAGCTATTATACCTTAATTATCTTACTCGAGAGTATATACTCGAGTATCTCTCAAAGATAAATTAAAAGAAATTGTAATTTCATTATCATATTATATCATACTCAAATACTAATACTACTACTAATACTTAATATATCTTAGATTCTCACCACCCTCCCGCCATTATCCAACTCCTCTCTCCTCTCCTCTCTTCATTTCCACATATACCCTCGCCATCCATCCTCTCAGAAAAACACTCAAAGTAGATAAGAATCTCGAATACCAACCTTCCCTTACTTCCCCTCCACCTCTCTCACCTTTCTCACCCCTCTCTTTCGCTCCCAAGGCTAAAAATGTTTTCTCCTTGCACCGGTATCTATTTATTCTGGATTACTTATTACCTGGAACTCTTTTGATTTTATTGGATTATAGGATGATGAGATGAACAGATGAATGTACGAGTATCCACAGACGATTTACAATACTCGTAGTTTATTATTATTACTATACTATTCTTCACCACACAGTAACTGCACTGTAACATAGAGAACATGTTAAAATTCACGCACTTTCACAGTATGTCTACAAGTTACAAATTCCCAAATAGATAAGAGAACTTTCTAAAATTCTTCTATCTACTGTAATGAGATCTACCCGCGCATGCAGAAAACAACTTTCTAAAAAGCAGCTCCGCCCAGCCCCTCATGAATGCAGTACAGACGAAAGCCTAAGCTACGCCATCGGTGACTCATGAAGGATGTAGTGCAAATAAAATCCCTATTTTCCGCTGTATCATATCCATACCGCCTAAGCGTAGATCATGATCAGTGAAGACGGCAACCCTTTCAGATATGTGTAACCTTGTATGTCCCAAATGTGAAAAGAAAAACTTTATATTCACCATGCTCCTTTACATCTAGGTATCAATTATGATCATCTACTGAGACGATAGTCCGTTCGATTGTAATTGTGATGGTATGCGCTGGGTGAAGTATAAACCACCAATTTTGTCCTCCGAGTATCAAAATCCTCCCAACCTGAAACGAAAATAGACGTGATCGAACCTGAAAATCATAATCTGTGACCGTGAAGCTCATGTAGCAAGTTGAATGAGAAAAATTGTGCGCGCCTGCTCATCTTGATGTTATTGAGTAGAACCTCCAATAACCAATATGCTGCTTGAGATATCCAACGTCGCGGTATGCGATCTCTAGTCCGATGTTCCGATCTCGAATTGATTCAAAAGGTGGTCGACAAGAGGCCATTCCAATTCGAAATCAAACTTATCAGATTGATTTCTCTGCATATCTGCGTGAAAACCAAACTCGAGATGAAATTGATGTTGAAACTCATAAAACACAGTAGTTCGATCTTCGGTATGTGGGAAACAATCAAACGCCTCGTCGTCGGAAAGAAAGTCCTTGATGAGCCTAAATAAGAATTCCTGAATATCGTGTTCGCAGTGTGACGAGAAACAAGCTTTCATACACCGACTGATAACTTGAACCATATGATCACTAGGACGGAGTTTAATGGTGCAGATGACTGTGCTGTCCGGGTTCGTGCGACGTTCGTTACTAGTTAAGCTAGACTTAAAGACAAAGTAACTTCCGGTCCTCTTAGTAGCTTCAGTAGCATCTTGGCCTTGCAGGGTGTGCAAAAGGTCGTTCTTCCGAGCCCATGCCACAAGAAGTTGTGGGAATGGTCCGCTATGACAGTACATTCCGAAAACTTTTTGGCGATAGTTATACTTCGACTTCTTAATTGGAAGCTCATCTGAAGAAGAAATGGCGAGAGGACCAGTGTAGTATATCTGGTAAGCAGGAGAGTGATCTACCGTGGGTATCTCGAACTCTTCCACACTCTCCTGCAGGCAGACATCGGCATGAGTAAGACTTCCTGCTAGAAGACATGCAATCGAACAGTATTTTACGCCACTATTAAGACCACAGCCATGACAGAGGACCATAGGACTCTCCGTAGTTGCGTAATAATGCTTGGCACAATAAGTACAATCGAAAGGAATTTGTACCGAGTTTGGGTCGGCATGCGTGTGTGGGCTCTCGTGGAGGATAGTACTGTTTGAAACTTGTTGCTGGCTCCAGCCATTAGAGAATTGGGTCATATTTTGTTCTCCGATTTCATAACTTGCTACGCTTGCATGTTGAATATGTGTTCGATATCCCATAGAGGTAGGCGCCATGAGATCCAGATTTTGAGAATTTGACTCCAGAAAAGAAGGGTGAAAGCCCTGGGGCTGTGGGCCATGAATAGTCATAGCAGAACTAGCAGCTGAAACAGAGCCACTGTCAGAAATTGATGTACCTTCTTCAGGTGACGGAGATTCTTCGTCTCCAATGTGAACCTCTATAGAGCATGAATCTGCAACTATAGGCTCATTGTAAACGACAGTATCTAGAGATGCACAATCTGAAACAGGTGAATCAGCGACTGTAGAAGTAATGCCGATAATATCTGTAGATAAATTATCAATGGCAGAAAAACTGTCAGCAGGGATGACGTTGCCAATGATAGTATCCATGGGTGTACCAGCAGTAGTAGATGAGTCGCCAACTGCAATGGCATTATCAACGATAGGATCCATTGATGAAATCTTAGCAACGGAATTAGGTCTTTCGATGATCAAAGTAGAGTCGGAATATTCTTCGTCATCGTTCACCTCAGTGGAAGAGGAAGAGGCGAAGAATGCTGCGGTAGTTGAAGAGCTTCGGAATCGTCGGCGGGCTCGGTGGGGAAAATCAAGAATGCGGCCAAGGTAGATTGGTGCATCATGCTCTAAAGTGAGTCCACGGACATGTGATACCTCTTCCAGGGGAATTGTAGCAGTATTTCCAGCTTCGTACTCTGGACTAATCGTACTAGTAAATTCAACTTCTTCAATACTAACATGGACAACTTCTTTTGCGATTTCGTAAGCCAAAGTCCGAGTAGCGTCGACATGTGCGAAATCATCGTATTTATTAACGTTGGAACTGTCCTCGGCAGCTACTTCCACAGGCAAGTCAGACTGTTCTTTCGAAGGTAGGGCAGGCATTTTGTCCGCTGCGATTTGAGCTTCAGTTGATGTTAGACCATTTTCAACGATCGCCGCAATGCCACCAAATATATCGAGGTCCATCTTTGGCAGAGCTGGCTGTCCCACCATTACTGTAGGCTCTGCCTTGGCTGCATCATCTCGCTTTGTGACTTTTTTCCAAGGAGAGATAATTTCTGGGAAATCGTTGAAACTCTCGATCTCAAACTTATCGCCGGGCTTTGTAGTAGTAGCAGCAATATGATCTGATACTTTTGTGGATATCTCCCCCTTCTTTTGGCCAACCTTCTGATTCGGTGGGACTTTGACATTAACAGAAGCATTATGCTTATATGACTTGGAAGAATGAACAGAATCAGATTGGTAGGTAGTCCGTGGCCCCTTTGGCCTACTTGGCTTTGTCTTTACAACATTCCACTTTGACTCGTCCTCAATCGCTAGATTCATTGAATCGTCGAACTCGTAATTCAAAGGGTCAGACGCAATGGAAGGGTATAATTTGTCGGCAATCTCAGTAGTTTGACTTGCAGCTTCTGCTCCTGTGGATTCAGGATCTTCTTCTTCTTGTTTCGCAACCTTTTTTGCGTTCGGCTTGCCCTTTGTCTTCTTCTTCTTCTTCTTTTTCGGGGCAGTCTCGTTCTTTGACTCCGAATTGTCTGGGATCAACAGCGGCGAAGTCGAACGATTTTCACTATCAGCGGTAACGGTTTCAACAATGGTGGCTTCCTCGGCAGACTCATCTAATGTTGGAATCGTACGAACATGAGTGATTGACCAAGTTTCTGACCCCATGATTGAGTCCAATCCATGGATGTTGATATTTTGGACGAAATCCTCCAGAGCAGTTCTCGCCGCAGCCTTTCCTGCTTCCTCCTTATTCTTTTCCAGCGTATTAAGCTTATTGATGTATGTTGGATGTTCTGGAGAGCGGCGAACTTCCGTGCCTTGGACTTTGGCAATTGTTAAACTCGACTTTGGCAGGTCCATTTCCTTCTCAACAAGCTTGAGGGCGTCCTCGATCTCGTTCATTTTTATAACTTCCAAGAGGTACAGATTAACGATGTGTTTAACATCTCCTAGTCCTTGCTTTTGCGTCTCTTGCTTTAGATTATCCTCGGTTTCCCCATACAGGTTGCGGTAGAGATTCTGTCCATACTTATCCATGTCGATTTTCGTAATGCGGAAAGGTTTTGACACTGAATCTTTTCCAACTGTGGATGAATCCTTTTCGGCAGTGAGTGTCTTAGGATCCGATGGGTAAGCGTAATACTCTGGGGATTTGACTTCTTTGCCCGAGTAAAAATCATCGACTAGAAGTCGGAACTCATCTGATATTGGCTTGATGCCGCTCTCTTGCAAACCCAGAATAGTATCTAGCCATTGTTAGCAGATGGGATGGTAAATAAGGGTTCATACCCACCTCCTAATACTTTCCAAGCCACTCTATCTCTTTCCTCCCTATTAACTGGCTTGTACCAGTGTCCCGTCTGTGTGCTCATATGGTATGGAACTTTACAAGCGGTACGTACACCCAGTCTAACCGCTCGGGAGAAGATTGCTGTATTCCAGCCCTTGTCAATTGGTTAGCGCAATATTGGACATTGTAATTGAAGGTCCATCACATACCCAAGGAAAGAATTCACGGCTTCCTGACTGGATGATTAAGTCGGCCATTTTTTCCTGCGATGTGAGCCACGAAAGAAGACCGTTCTTTCCTGCTACTGGAGGTGATCCAAAACGTTGCGAATCCTGAGAAATGGGTTCGCGTAAATCGAAATGGACAATTCTTCCTACCAAATCTCCTACTAGATCTAGATTTCGAGAATTGATAAGCTGGAGAATGCTAGGACTACCGTACAGAGAAAGGATGTTCGCTATTGTTGTCTCTGTCGCGCTGTTGTCAATTGGTGGAATCTCCTGCCGATCTTGGCTGGGAAGATAAGTTAGCCTTCGTTGGCGAGAGTAATGATTTTCTAGCTTGCAAAAGAACGGGTTCCAAAGAAGAACAGGGGGAAAGAATGTGATCGTTACTTACTCTTCTACTTGGTTTACGACCTCTTCGACTGAACCAGAACGATCTGTCGAGGCGCTTGATGATTTGTTTCTGCGTTTGGAAGGACTGAAATTGGTCGAGTTACTCAAAGCCTCGAGATTTTTCGCGGTCAGTGGATTTGGCGTTGGATCTAGAAAATCCACGGAATTGGAATCGACCAAATCGTTATCTGGTACAATTGAATTGTCCCAAGAATTATCGAGTTCTGAAGACTGAATACCAGTCTCTTCTAGTTTTGTTACGTTTTCGCACTGTTGTTGTTAGAAAAGATTATTACAAAGGTAAATGAGAACCTATGGTATAAGTAGGATGGGAAACAATCTTGGTGGGGATTTGTCGACTAAGCAAGAACTTAATTTTCAGGTTTATTTTCAATCATCCTCCGGACAACCAGTATAAGAGGGGAAAAACAAACATTCTTACCACCATATCCAAATCTATCAGTGATTCAGTCACTGAGACTGGGGACTTAATTCTTGGAAATCGCATGGTTGTAGATGGAGTTTTGGATATTTCATATAAAGGAAAAAAACATGTCGGGGGAAGATGGAGGAGGAATAATCTTGAGCTCAAAGCTCTTCGCTTCGAGACAGTTCGGCAGTCATGGAATAATAGTCCTCCCGATCTCCGAAGAGGTCTAGCATCTAGCATAGATAGTTTATATACCCATTCACTACTTCACCGCTTCGGAGATGAAGAGTAAAGCTTTGTCAATCAAGAATGAAGTCAATTCATACTTTCAAGTTTCCATTGTCTTCACTCATGTCTCTACAACTGTCAATCCCTTCACCCAGTTCATTCATGTGGCACTTTGAATGACTACTATTCACAAATGTTTGCCTTGATTTGTTGAAATAATACTTGGATTCACAACGGGCATCCTCTCTAACTGACCCTTTCATACAAAATTTTATATTCATCTACCACATCACAACTACACGCTCACAAAAGAAGACATTTCAAATTTGACAGACACAAATGAAATTGCTTTACAATACTTATTTTCTGTTGACATGATTTCATTTCATTAAACCCCTTCATACGGTACTTTGTATCCAATAACTCTGAAAGGGCCTCTTCCATTGTCACATCTCCATGTGAATGCTTAACATGAGAAATATCATTTTTTGTATGCATGCTTGAGTGATCTATGTCCTGAAGGAGAATGAATATGTGTAACATGCACTATTTCAATGTCCTCCAAACCCAGAGGTAAGATGGTGAAATCAGATTAAAGAATTGGGAGATTCATAAAACTAGCAAAGAACAGTGTGAGTGATGATGTGGCACAACCACTATGATACCAGCTTTCTTCATATTGTACACTCAAGATAAATAACCTCTTAAGTACCAAACTCATCACCAAAGATTCATAATGAGAAGCTCCATGTGTATGGGTATTATACTTGAAGTTTATGGCAACTGCCAATTGAGCTAGCTCATCGAGCCTTCTTTAATCGGATGCAGTATTAAATCATTGGGTGAAAGAAACATGACTTAGGGACCAAGTAATAAAATGCATCTTAATTGCCAGACAAAGTGATTTTACTTATCTTCACAAAGCTCACATACCATAACTTTTATAGCAATCTGTGGTATAGCAAACAGATACCGCAGCCTTCACCCACCACAAAGGTCATGGTGGACATGGTGATTATGCATGGTGAAATGCGTATGGGATTGGACATATAGAAGACAGAGCAGTTACCGCATTTCAATGAACTGAACTTGATGTTATACTTTAGATGATTGTACTTCCTTTTCCAGACATTGCCATCCATCTACTGCCAGTATTAATTAACCCTGATATTCTGGCAACTTATTCATGCTCTATCTCCTATGTATGTATATCTACAAATGTATCAATGTATGTTCAACCAATTTTCAGTGAAGTGAGATGAGAAAGAGAGTGCAGAGTGCAGAGTGCAGAGCAGTCATCACATGTGGTGAAATGGAAGGAAGGATGAAATGAAGTTGATTATGAGTGAAGAGTGAAGTGAAGTGAAGTGAGGTTGAAGTGAAGTTCGAACTTTCCCCAAATAGTATTTTACGTAAGCGATCATGTGATTAAGTGACAATTTCAAAGCCTAGTCTCACGCTAAACTAAACGCAGATCCCCAATTATTTTTTCCATTTGGCAAGTCGCATAATTCTGTCTTGCATGACTTTGCTTTGCTTGTTCCTCGAATCTCCCAAAACCCGAACAAACTATCTACCCCCATCAATTATCACAACAATTGTCAAAGACACAAACTTCAGTTTCTTTTGATCTGCTTGTCTTGCATTTCACTAATATAGAAAATCCAACTCACAACACATCCCGATCTTTAAAAAGATAACTACATTTCTTTCCCCATTCCTGAATCCAGGCAATCGAAGCAGCGATGGCCGACCCACAACCTAGCATCACTTCTATCCTGGCAGCTTTAGGTAAATTTTTCCTGCTGGCGTTGTTGATGAATATTTGTTGAAACTAACTTCCTTTCAGCAGCGCAGCGACCTAATGCGACCCCTCCGCAAAATCAGCAGCCTGCTTACCAGCCTCCTCCTCAACAACAGTCAAATCCTTATGTACAACCTGGGTATTCTCTGCCCCAACCTACAAACTCAGGCAGTGTCGATCTCAGCGGCATCAAACCCGTAAACTCTGGAACTGTCAGTATACAAGATGCCATCGCAAAAGCAAAGGTGATTGCTGCTGAGAAGGGCGTCTCATACGACAGAGCTCCATCTTATGGTGCACCACACCCGCCCATGCCTTCCGGTAGACCATACAGTCCACGATCTAGATCTAGATCCCCACAGCCAACACGTCGCGATCCTTTCCGTGATAATTTCAACCCATATCGCGATGAACGACGAGGCCCACCGGGAAGAGAATATCGAGAACGTTCATTCTCTCCCGTAGCACGAGGCAGAGGACCACCCGATACCTTCCCACCTCCACATGTGGGCGCAGGTGGTTATGCTCGCGAACGCTCTCCAATACGCGGTGCAGAAGATACCACCGAATCAATCTCAATCGAGTCGAATCTTGTAGGATTGATCATTGGTAGACAAGGCGAGAATTTAAGAAGAGTGGAATCAGAGACCGGCTGTAGAGTACAATTTATTACTGGTCCCGACGAAACCGGTCCTTTCAGAACCTGCAAAATCACTGGCCCTCGTGCTCGCAGAGCAGATGCTAAAGCTGAAATTACTCGCATCATCGATGATAGTGGTTTGGGCCCGATTTCAGACCGACCTCCAAGAGAACAAAATGTTACAAGAGACTCATCGCACCAACCAGCATTGAGAGATGGCGAGGATAGTATGCAGATCATGGTTCCCGATAGAACAGTCGGTCTTATTATTGGCCGTGGTGGAGAGACTATCAGAGATCTTCAAGAGCGAAGTGGTTGCCATGTCAATATTGTTGGAGAGCAGAAGAGCGTTAATGGACTGCGACCTGTCAACCTCATAGGTACTCAAGAGGCTGCCGCCATGGCCAAAGACTTGATCATGGAGATTGTCGAGAGCGATAGTAAGAGCGCACCAAAAGAGCGCGCGCCCGCTCCAAGAGAGAACACTCGTGACGCAGGCTATGGAGGTGGTGGTGGTGGCGGTGGTTATGCTAGCGGCGGAGGTCAAGGAGACAAGATCAATGATTCTATCTTTGTACCTTCCGAGGCCGTAGGCATGATCATCGGCAAAGGTGGAGAGACGATCAAAGAGATGCAAACCACGACCGGTTGCAAGATTAATGTAACCCAGTCTTCCGGACCAGGTGAGGTCGAACGTGAAATCGGTCTTGTAGGTTCCCAGCAAGCTATAGCAGCTGCCAAGCGAGCTATCGAGGATAAAGTTGAGGCTGTGGTAAGTCCGATTATTTCTTGTTCTCAAAACACTTCTAACATTTTGAAGCAACAGAAAAACAATGGCGGAGGTGGTGGTGGTCATCGTAACAACCGTGGTCAACAAAATCAACAGAATGACTATGGAGACCGTGGATATTCTCAACAACAATATTCTCAGCCACAGGGACAACAAGGACACCAAGTACAACAAGGACAACAAGCACCTCCAGCTGGTGCTGAAGACCCTTATGCACAATGTAAGTTTTACTTCTGGTCAGTGTCGAATCTTGCTAACGAGATTAGATGGTGGATATGAAAACTATGCCCAGCTTTGGTATCAAGCAATGGCCGCGCAAGGTGCGCAAGGTCAAAGTGATCCAACCAAACCGCCAGGAACGTCGTAATTTTACGACTGTGATTACCAGCCGTAGGATGACTCGACATTTGACTTGCATGATTCGCATGACTTGCATGACATACGCTGAGACCATGATTTTCGATTCATTTTTCATCGATATAGTATGCCTGTATTGCACATGATGACGATGACCGAAAATATTCGTACTATTTCATTTCTGGCATGACATTGGTATACTATCTTCACTGAGTTGATCACGCAGCCCAGGATACTCTAACCTATGGATACACGATATTAGTATGCACTACTACTTTTACGATTCTTGAAGATGCTTTCTGTCAAACCAATTCCGGAGCAAAAATTTCCCAAAAAATTGATACCGGCGAACCAGATCTATCTATCAGTAGATGATGACCAAACGCGTACCGTCTACTTTGCTCTGTGCACTGCAATTGATCTGACAATCTGCTTCTGCTTGACAACCATGATTTGGGCTCTGGATACTGGATCTGATCTGCTTGCAATATTGATATTCATGCAAGAGCGTTCCCTTCATTGGCAGCTTCTTCTTCTTCTTTTCAATTGTTGTCATTGATGCTTTGGTCGGCATAATCACTCACCTTGTCAATACCAAAAAAAAAAAAAACTCGAATTCCAAGTTTTGATGAGATGAGATGTAAGGCTCACGCGAGCATTTGGTTTGGCGGGTGAGCATGATCTGGTCTGGACTGGACATTGATGCTGCTGCATGCATGACTTGATCGCAACCGATGATACTGATTGATGACTTGCTTGCTTGCTTTTGCCGAGTAACAATCGAGTAATTTTGAACTTTTTGGCTCTCTTACTATTGCTTGCTTTCTCGACCAATGTTTAATCGGATTTTCTTATTTTTCTGTCTTTTCTTGATTTTGATGCATGCATGCATGGCTCTTTCCTGATAGGTATATCTGGTTTGGTTTGGTTTGATGTATGGGGTGGAATGGGTGGGATGTGATGGGATATGATGGTGGGCGATACAATCCAAAAGTCATTGATGGGAAGGATAGTTAGTGAGTGGTGGTGGTAATGAAAGGAATGTACGATAGCAACAAAGCAACAATCCAAAAAAAATGTTTATTGCGTTTGGGATTTGAAGATAGTTGGGAAATCGTGCGGAGGATTTGGTATGTATGATACGTGATATTGCTTCATCTCATCCCAGCCAATTCCCTCTTTGAACTAATGATATGTCTGTCTTCAGCTTACTCTCTCTCTCTCTCTCCTATACCAGTATCTTTTTTTTTAGTATTTTCATCTCTCATTTATTACCCCATTCAACCTCCGACCCCATCACACCCCCTCGATCGTCCATCGTCCATCATCCATTCTCCGAAAAGCCTCCACGTACAATCAATCACCTACACTAGTCCAACATCTTCACCCCCAATCTCAAATCTCAAATCTCAATCCTCACTCCACAACCCTTACAACCACCCCTCACAAAACACACACCAAAACCTCAGCAGCCAAAACCTCATAACAAGGAACCTCAGCCAACCTCGAGATAATCCTCTGCATCGCCGATGAATCCCTAGTATTCGATTCCAGAGTATCAAGTTCCGCAGCAGTCGCTAGTACCGGTAGACCTAATTCCTGTATCGAAAAAGATCCGGTTGATGAGGTGTATTTGCGAATGTCTTGTGATTGAGATGATGTGTGAAATGTGTGAAGAGAGCGTTTGGTGGAATCATGATCATGAGGGATGTGGTGGAGGTGGCCTTGCGGGGGTGGGGGGTGGTGTTTGGGGTTAGAGGGGAAGGTGGAGAGGAAGAGGAAGGAAGAGGCGGATCGTATCTCCATAATAAAAGTCCTTCTTCTCCATTATCAACTTCCTCTTCCTCATCCCCCCCTTTCTTCTCTTTTTCCTGTTCCGTCTCCATTCCGCACTCCACTGCCAGAACTTCCGTAAGATTCTCAAGACTTATAGTCCCCCACCTCATCCTGGTATGTGGATCCGAGGCGTGGATCTGGTACGTGTGTACTCCTGTTTCTGGGGTTGTATGATTAATTTCGAAGTTGGTGTGTGCGCGACTCTTCTGTTCTTCCTCCTTTTCATCCGTGACAGGAAGAGAAGAAGAGCGCGACTCAAAAACAATCGGAACAAACGTTCCCCTTACTACCTCCCTGTTCCCCCCATCCCCTCCATCATTCTTGATATATTCCACATCCTCGATACAGAACCATAATTGCTCATACCTCGCCTCATCCCTATCCCCATTCTCACCCTTCTTCTCCCTCCCATCTTCATTCTCACAACTCCAAGAAACCCACCTAAAACTCGCCCTCGAAATAATTCCCGTATTGATAAATCGAAAAGAATCAGAGTCGAGGGGGAAGAAATTTTGCAGGAGGGTGCGTGAGGTAGTAAAGGATAGGGTTGCTGTTATTTTTGTTCTCGTGATGGCGGGATCTGAGATGCGAGTTGGAGTGAGGTTGAAAGTGGAAATGCTTTGAGATGCGATTGAAGTAAGTGACGATGATGTGTATTTTGGAGGGAACTTGAGCATGGGTAGAGGTCCTGATACAAGGTCAGTTAGACTGAGATAGGAGGTAGGGACGACGGAGAGAAATGAGAGGGGTGTGAATATACCGAAACTAGCGGGTGTTAAGTAGTAGGTAGAGAGATGGGGATTACGTTTCCACATCCATTTTCTCAGCTCTTGAGTAGAATTGTCCCATTCGTCATGTTGCAGGTTGTGGTTTACGAATTGGCGGACTGGGATTAACATGTCAGCATTATGTATACTCATAAGTATACCGTGTCCTCCCTTTCTCTCTTTCTTTTATCTCCATCGCAATTTATAAAACAAGGAAAACATAATAATGAAGAGCTGAGAACAAACATATAAATGACTCACTATCAACAATTTCCTTGCCCTCCCCAATATCCCTACCCAAAACCCTAGAAAACTCCTGTATGCGATGGGCCCTCCCCATCCTAATACTTTTATACAATTTCAGCCTTTCCCCCACCTCCTCTTTCTTCACATCTCTTGGGAGAACCACAGCAAGCGAAGCAGCGTCTTCGATAGCACTACCAGCTCCTTGGCCTTGGTGTGGTAAATACGGATGTGCTGCGTCGCCTAGGAGAACTAGATTTCCTTTTGTAAAAGTGGGGAGGGAGTGCATGTCAAGAAGACGCCAGACTTTGAGAGTGCCAGATGTATTTGTTTCTGAGGAGGGAGAGGATGAGGAAGAAGGGGAAGTAGAGGGGGCCATTTTCAACATCTCCAACATATCTTCATCCCAACCCTCATATATTTTTATTAAATTCTCTTTATCACCACCTTTACCCCATCCCTCTCCTTGAGCACCCGGTTCAGATAATGCATCAGGATGTATACACACGAAATTCAACAAAGAGTTAGAAGAAGTTGGATATGTTATTACGCGACGATCGGAGCCGAACCACATGATTAGTTCACCTTCTTTTTGCATATATTTTGCGGTTTTGGGATTGGAGAGAACGGAGGAGCGGGAGAGAAGAAAGCGGTAGGCGCTTTTTCCACAAGGAAAGGGGCGCAATTCGGATGAGAGCGTTTGTACGAAGGATCGAGTGTGACTGTGGACGCCATCGGCGCCGATTATTAAATCGCCGGTGTGAGAAGTACCGTTCGAAAAATAAACGGTAGCGGTAGTGGAGTCGAGATTGATCACTTTGTGAGAAGTGAGGAGAGATATTGCGGGATGTGGAGGAGAAGGAGTCAGCGCGTGGGATTTGAGATGCGAGTGTAGTTGTACGCGATGGGCTAGGAGCCAGGGCTGATGGAGGTTAGTTGAGTTTGATGACAGATGAAAGGGTGAGGGGAAATATACGTGGCGCCATATTTTATCTACCTCGATTAGATTCATACTTCGGTTCAACGAGCCGGTAGATGCATATTCTGTCATCTGAATCGGAACATTCGGTGTTAGTGGGTTACTAATAAATTCGTATGTACAAGCCTCTGGTTTCAAAGCAGAAAGATAGGAACAACAGTATCAAATAAAGTGTTTAAACTCATATACCCACCCAGTTCAAAGGATTCGCACCACTCTCCTCCAGGAAAATACCCAATCGTCTCAGTATTCCATTAGAATTCGGTTGGATATGGATTGCGGCACCATATTCTGAGGCGAACTGGGATTGCTCAAATATCTAATCTTGTTAGCCTGGGTCCCCGCAACTTAGTTTGAATTTCAGGAAATGCTGGAACAAGATTTTGAGAATGGGAATGCAGAGGAAATTTACCGTAATTTCATGGCCCTGTTCTCTCAAAGCAATCGCGGCAGTAAGGCCACCGATGCCGGCTCCTACGATGAGGATTTTGAGAGGCATGATGAGAATTGAGCCAATAAAACAGAATAAAGTAACACGCCTATCTCTCCTAGATTAGGTTTGACTTTGGAGCTGATAGACTCGATCGGATTTGAGATGAAGAGGCAACGAAAGGAAGAGGAAGAGGGGATGTCGTCTCTAAAAATGTAGTACTTATGGTTTTCAATCGTAATGACGACACGGGTAAAAACCTCAGCTGGATGGAAGGTTCGGGATATGAACAGCCGCATCTGCAGTGTAACAACTTGGCACGGATCTCCTTCAATTCCGGTTTTCCATATAGTGCTTCTGTAATACATACACATTGCAACGTCGCAACATATCAGACTTCCCCACGAATCATCTTGACGCATATGCATGAATTTTTTCCACTGACACCAATTTGCATCACTTCATTCAAAAGATACAAAGTGTTTCTGTAGATTATTAGTTGTGAATCTTTTCGTCCGGATATAGAGGCGTGTATAAATGAGCAATTGATAAATAGCTTTAATCATGGGGCCACTTGACCACAAGAAGAAGGCATACGCTACCATCATGTTGCTTTGTTGGTTTCGATGGCACGAAAACCGACTTCGAAGGCTTGCAGTCATATTATCTGCGATCTGCTATTCAGATCGATCAGAGGGAATGACATAAGAATGATGATATTTGAGGATCGCTTTTCTATTCCAAGAACCCTCCGATATGTCCCGGTATGTCCCGGTATGTCGAAGTGATGTGAAGCTGATCAACCTGGACGTTACGTGCACTTGGTATATAGCAATGTTGCATTGAAGAGAAGATCAAACAGGATGCAATGCAAAGAAGTTTCCTTCGCTCAAAGTAACCATGTACGAAGCACTTGTTTCGTTTCTCCTTCCATGATGCAGGTATAGTTCTGAAAGCCTAGAGCGAGAACAGAGAGCCTTGTATTGAACGGAATATAACAGATATTGTCGTGACCCGTCAAAATTGTTGTCCCTCATATTTGATGGATCTTCTATACAAACCATGGCCATTCATATCATGAGGAGTACCTTGAGACGCTGGATGCTGCTTCACGTGTTCCCAACAAGAGAAGGACGAAAGTTCTCACCCCTAGGCAAAGAACTCGATGGAAAATGAAGGAGTTAAAAAGACCAGAGCACTTCTCGGCTGTATTTTCGATGTAACGAAGTCCAATATGAAGCTTTTGATCCAAATGTACTATGTAGAGGATATATAGGCCAGTTATATGCCTAGCACCAGCCTCTTCTCTTATCAAAGAAATCACAGCCCCTCCACCCACCTACACAATTTTCCAAAAAAATTCTAATTCGTATTAAGCAATACCAAGAAATTAGTGTAAAATCTATCTCTTATGGCAAAACCAGTATACATGTTTTCTGGGAGGAAACCACTCTCTAACGAGAAGAGGCATGGCACATCAACTTTCGGGTATCCACGGTGGGTTGTGGTTGTGGTTGTGGTTGTGTTGTTATTATTGTTGAGGGGTTTGAAAATCCCCTCATACTATTACCCCTGTTCACTCCACTCCACTCCACTCATCTCCAACTCCTCTCCTCTCCTCTTTCGGGTACCCACGATGAATTAGGTATTCATGTTTGTAGTTGTGGATGTGGATGTGGTTGTGTTGTTAATGTTGTCGTTGTTGTTATTATTATTATGGGGTTTAAAATCCCCTCATACTATTACCCCTGTTCACTCCACTCCACTCCACTCCATTCCACTCCACTCCACTCCACTCCACTCCCCTCCCCTCATCTCCACTCCCCTCATCTCCTCCTCCTCTCTACTCTCCTCTCCTCTCCTCTCCTCTCTCCTCTTTCGGGTACTCACGATGAATCTGGTATTCATTTTTGTAGTTGTGGATGTGGATGTGGTTGTGTTGTTATTGTTATCGTTGTTGTTGTTATTATTGTTGTGGGGTTTAAAATCCCCTCATACTGTAACCCCTGTTCACTTCACCCCACTCCCCTCATCTCCGACTCCTCTCTCCTCTCTCTCCTCTCTCCTCTCTTTTCCCCTCCAGTTCTCCAATTTTCCAAACTGAATCAGTGAGGTAAGTTCTGATAATGGCTTAAAAGGTTTGAAATACTGTACCGGTAGTTTACTCTTGTACTTGATCGCTATCATACTCGAGTATATACTTGTACCTAGATGTGAAGTTTGACATTATTCCTTTAACCCATACATAACCCGTACTGTACTCATATTCATCATACATACTATTCACTTATCTTATAGGTAGACGGCCCAACTCTGACTCTCTGAGACGGGTCCACCCCACCATTCATCCCACCATCCCACCAAAAGCTTCAACTCGATACGTCACTCTATTCAGATACGAGTAGCCGCTGCAACTCCTACCACATTCTCTCTACCTTTTACCTTTTGACTCTTAACCACATGCGCCCACTAACCTTAATCTACTTAGAGCTTTTCTTGACATCTCACTGTACTTGAGAGTATGAATAAAACAACATCACCTCACTCACTTCAAATCAACAAAACAATCTTTCACAAACTGTCAATAGGGATTTGCCCTACTGTACTTACCTTGTTGTCTGCCAATTGAGTGAAACCATATCAGTGATCGGCATTTGTCAACTTCTTACCCCACCAAACTTTCACAATGGTACAAATCGATTCGCATGAATATTTGTCGGAAGAAGAGAAACGTCTAAAAGAGGATCGTGATAGGACTAAATACTGGAAGAAATGGGGTCCCTACGTTGCTGAAAGACAATGGGCTACAGGTACTGGTTCTTGGAGACGTTTTGTGAGCTTATCAATGCTGATATCAACATCTAGTGCGAGAGGATTACAGTGCCGATGGTGATGCATGGAGTCGTGAGTTTTGACTTCTAGACGGCATTCTATACAGCCCTAACAATTCGCAGATTTCCCCCATGACCATGCGAAATCAAGAGCCTTCCGATGGGGAGAAGATGGTATTGCTGGAGTCTCGGACACACATGGTCTTCAGAACATTGCCTTTGCCTTCTGGAACGAGGAAGAGTAAGTAGCATTGCTATTAGAACACCATCCTCGGAAAACTGATTAGGATACAGTGACTCTTTAAAGGAACGTCTCTTCGGATTGTCGAACCCAGAAGGAAATCATGGAGAGAGTATTAAGGAGGCACATTTCCACATTGATAACACTCCAACGGTTAGTCAAACACTCAATATTTTACATCGAAGAAGACTGATGAGTTTGTCTAGCATTCATACATGAAATACTTGTACAAATACCCCCAAAAGAAGTTTCCTTACGAAGATTTGATCAAAGAGAACGCTAGACGTGGCAAGGAAGATAAAGAATATCAAATCCTCGATACGGGCATTTTCGACGAAGACCGATACTGGGATATTTATATTGAAACTGCGAAAGATGAGGATAATCCGGATGAGCTCCTCTTCCGAGTTACGGCATGGAATCGAGGCCCCGAGCCAGCACCATTACATATCATTCCTCATCTCTGGTTTAGAAACACTTGGGCTTGGGGTCATGAAGCTGAGGATAAGAAGCCAAAAATCAACAAGGTTGGGGAAAATGTTGCCCATGCTCGTCATCACAAGCTAGGCGAACGATACATGATCTTGTCTCCTTCTCCTGGTGTTGGACCCAGTGGTGTTGACGTTCAACCCGAATTAATCTTTACGGAGAACGATACAAACAATGCTCTTTTATACGACGGAAAGAATGCTCAGCCATATGTCAAGGACGCATTCCATCGTTATATTGTAGATCGAGAGAAGAAAGCAGTTAATCCCAAGGAAAACGGAACCAAGTCTGCAGCTTGGTACAGTTTCAACGAAGGTGGTGGAGTAGCACCAGGAGAGTGTGCAGTGGTCAGATTCAGGATGTCCCAGAAGTATTCCGACTACTTGGATGAAGAAGAATTCGATAATACCATGGATAAGCGAAAGGATGAAGCCGATGAGTTTTACTACCGAATCAGCCCTTTACCAATGGCCGATGATCTTCGAAACATCCAAAGACAGGCTTTTGCTGGCATGATGTGGTGTAAACAATACTATCACTTTATTTGGGACCAGTGGGCGAACGGTGATCCAGCCCAACCTCCACCTCCACCGGACCGTAAAGCTGTTCGAAACCTAAACTGGAAACATATGCATTTAGATGATATCTTATCTATGCCAGATTCCTGGGAGTATCCTTTCTTCGCAGCATGGGATTCGGCTTTCCACTGTATTCCACTCGCCATGATTGATCCAGATTTTGCTAAGAAGCAGCTGGATCTTTTCACGAGAGAATGGTATATGCATCCAAATGGACAGCTTCCCGCCTACGAATGGAATTTTGGCGATGTTAACCCACCCGTTCATGCTTGGGCTACTTTCCGCACATTTAAGATTGAGAGAAAGTTATATGGACGTCAAGATCTCGATTTCCTTGAGCGAGTTTTTCAAAAGTTACTTCTTAACTTCACCTGGTGGGTCAACCGCAAAGATTTCGATGGAAAGAACGTATTTGAAGGTGGTTTCCTTGGTTTGGATAACATTGGTCTGTTCAACCGCTCCGAGCCACTTCCAACTGGAGGTACATTGGAGCAAGCAGACAGTACTGGATGGATGGCTTTCTACTGCCTGTGTATGTTGAACATTGCACTGGAGCTGGCTAAGCATCGTCGAATCTACGAAGATATTGCCTCGAAATTCTTCGAGCATTTCATGCTCATCAGTGATGCCATGACTTATAAATCTGGTTCGGCAGAAAAATCGTTGTGGAACGACGAAGATGGCTTTTACTATGATGCTATCTCCTATGGTGGACCTTGGACTCAGCAATTACCTGTCAGATCTCTGGTAGGATTGATTCCATTATACGCCACTCTCACCCTAGAGCCCGAGCTTATCAACAAACTACCAAATTTCAAGAAGAGAGTTGATTGGTTTGTTGAGAATCGACATGATGTTGCTGAACGTAACATGCACAGTATCCAGAAGAGAGGAAAGGGCAACCGAATCTTGTTATCGCTTGTGAGCAAGGATCGTCTAGAGAAGATTCTGAAGCGCATGTTGGATGAAGACGAGTTCTTGAGTGAACATGGTATCCGATCCTTGTCAAAATATCATGATAAGAACCCATACTCGATGAACGTAAATGGTCAAGAATTCAAGGTTCAATACGTACCGGGAGACTCGGACAGTGGCATGTTCGGTGGCAACAGTAATTGGAGAGGCCCAATTTGGTTGTGTGTCAACTTCTTGCTCGTTGAGTCGCTACAACGTTTTTACATGTTCTACGGACCTTCATTGAAAGTAGAATGTCCAACTGGATCAGGAGATATGATGCATCTTGGTCATGTTTCTGAAGAGATCCAACATCGACTTCAACATCTCATGGCTCGCGGCGATGACGGACGTCGTGCTATTAACGACGGTAATGATACTTTGGACTTCGATCCTAACTGGAAGGATAACTTATGGTTCTATGAATTCTTTGATGGGGACAGTGGTCGTGGTTTGGGTGCTACGCATCAATGTGGTTGGACTGGTTTAATCGCTAGAATGATCCACGATACTGGGTAAGTACTCATCAACACCCAAGTCCCATTGCCTATCATAAATTACTAACATACACCTCCTTAGAATCTCTTGCCGTCTCCCACAAACCCCCCGTACCCCATCCTCGGGAATGAACCATTACTTCGACGATATTTTCACACGTCACGTCGCCACCGGCCCCAACGCCAAATCCCAAAAGTCGCCCAGACCATATCATCTCCGTCGTACCTCTACAGCTCGCTCTATAGGTGCTCGCTCGGATTTTGGTGATCACGATCATGAACATGATGATGAAGAACAGCGGGAACGTGAGGGAAGTGTGGCGCCGATGGATGAGCAGCGAATGAGAGAGAGGGAAGAGGCTGATATACATGTGGCGAATTATGTTAGTGAGCAGTTGCATCGTGTGAGAAGTCATGATAATGCGTGGGGGGACAATATAGCGGATGAGTTTGAGGCGCAGCTGGATGAAAATTAGAGGGTAGATGGAGCCAAGGGTGAAAATGGTAGATAGATGGTGGGAAGATGGGAAAGAGGAATTAGATAGTACATATACAGGTGCAGGCGGAAGCGTAGGAAGATACAGAGAACGAAGCAAGAGCGAGAGAGCAATAGACAGATGCAGCATAGGCTTTGTTCTAGAACCGACCGAGAGCAAGAATTAGAGCTAGAGCTAAACCTGCGCTTCTTCATTCAAGCAGCAACAGTTTCTCCAATTTCTCCAATTTCTACTCGTATTAGATAGATAGATAGAAGTTAATTGAAAAGAAGTCGTTCGATTCATTGAGCAGATCAGATCAGATCAAATATAGCGAATGCAATACTCGAGTACTCGTACATATGTCATAACATATATGAAATGATGTGATGTGTATTATATCAAATCATATCACATCCCATCACATCCCATCACATCATATCATACCACAGTATCGATATTGATATTGATATTGATATCGATATTTAAACAAGATAAAACTGAAACCAAAACCCCTTCCCCCAAACGAAAAATATATATACTCGAGTAGATAGATACCAACTCAACTCGTAACTCATGCATATGAGAAGGTAATCAATCATCACCCACCGAACCCAATTAACAAACCCCCGATGAGAGCCCTACCTGAGTATGTATGTCATAGAGATAAATGATGACGAAGCTCACACGAGTATTTGGGGAAATATTTCATTTCGTTTCATTCCATTCCATTCCATTCCATTCTATTGTTACGCATTTACACTGTAGGTACTAACTAGGTACTAACTAGGTGGGTGGGTAAGTAGGTAGGTAGGTAGATTAGGTGAATGTTGTGTCTGCATCTCTCACTCGCATGCCCTGCACCTTTCCACACCTCTGAAAGAAAGCTGCACTCTCCCCTCCCTCTCCCTTCCATCCCCAGATCCAACCAGCTCAAAATAGTCAACGGAAACAAGGCTCTTCATTTGATTTGATTTCCACCATCTCGGAAGCCGGGGAAAAACTTGTTCAAGAGAGATTGGTTTGATGGTGATGTGATGTGATGTGAGAATTTACAAAGTATCGGTAAGTAACTTGTTCATCTTGGCGATGCGGCTTGAGACGCTGAGATCGATGGTTCGGTCGCCGATTTCGACGACGAGACCGCCGAGGACGTCTGGGTTGACCTGTTGTTTTGTGTTAGTGATAGTGATAGTGAAAGTGATAGTCATGATAATTTCGTGTTGAGGAGATACATAGAGTGTGTAAAGTATGGAAATGATATGAATGTATAACGAACCTTGTTGGTAACCTTAATTTTCTTGCCTTGACCGACGTATTGAGATTTAGAGACGGCAGATTCGAGACGGTTGAGAGTACGGGAATCTAATTGCTGTTTGGTGGGTTTTATGTTAGCTTCGTTTCTTCATCATATATCACATCACTCCCCCAGTTTCAACGTTCCATCTCTCTTCTCCCTAAGACTCCCACCCATCAACCCCAACAGCCCAACCCCCAAAACGAAAGAAAAATAAACCCACCGAAGCACTAGTAACAACCAACTCGACCTCCCCCCTAGCCGCACCCATCAACTCCCCAAACTTCTCACAAACGCCCTTCAAAAGTGACAATCTGTTGTTTTCCGCAAGAGTCTCCAAGAAATGCTTAAGCGTGTCACCCTTGTCCTGAACACCAGTATGTTTCTGGAGCTCCTGGATGATTTGTGATTTGTCGGCTACGGAGAGGGTGGGTGCTTGCATGATGGTGGCTAGCTTAGGGTCCTTTTGGAAGACGTTGTGGAGGGATTGGAGGGAGCGGGCCACGCTGTCGAGGGTCGAGGTTTTGGTGGCTGCGGTGTACTATCGAGGGGGTGGGTGATTAGCTATATTTCTTATTGTAAAGTGATGATGTCAATGCCAATGCCGATGATCCCATCCCCTCCGTCATCTGCTCCTCCTCACCCCTCTGCACCCTTTCTACACTTTCCGCCCCTTCCCCCAAAAACCCAGACAAAAAGCACACATACCAAAGCACTAGCATAAGTACCGTCAACGCCATACAACGCAACCGGGGGTTTGCTATCCACAGCAGCAGGAGCCGCATAGTTTCGGACCGCCTGGGTCAAGACCCTTGGGGTAGCGACCTTAGGAGCGCGGAGGAGGGTTCGACTCGAAATCATATTTGCGGATCTTATCGTCTCAATTGGTCCGTTTTGTAAGAGGGGAGATGGTGGTAGATGGGTAAGAGAGGCTTGATGACAGGATTGTGCAGAGGTGTGCCGGAGGTTTGGATTTTCGAGCCGAATTACAGGTCACGTGTTGGAGCATATTTAGTGAATCGCGATTTTGCCCGAGGTTTAGGGTTGGGATGATTGCAAATTTGGATTTAGGATGGTTAATTCTGATTGTTAGAATTACTTTTATAGAATACTGTTATTATTGTTATTGTTTGATATACTCGAGTTGTCTGGTGGTCTGTTTCGCAATTCGATTTTGAGTCCAGATGTTGTTGAGACATCGATGCGGGTGTTATCCCCTTAAAAGAGTTCAGTTCGAGTTCACAGCGCCTTCCTTCCCCGAAACACTTTGCTCGAGTCATCGAATCAAGTCCAAACCAATTACAAAGTTACGAAGTCGAAATCACGAGACAAACTTGGCAACATTTCTCTTCGTTGGAATAAAATTTCCTCCAATAACATCAATCATTGAAAGTCAATATTTGACGATTGCTCGCTGGTAACCTATAAGTACACTCTCATGACAATCCTATCCCCAATCCCCCCATTCCCCATTTCCCATGCATTTTCGGCCCAATCCGCGAATCAACCGCCCGTGAAGTCCTTCCCCTTCCCATGACTCCAGAAGAACCTAGGTATGATAACCCAAACGCCAATAAAATGATTACATGTATCGTCACCGCTTCATCAACAAGTTTTCTAATCGGTCCTAAGCATACTATCAACAAGATCGCCCAAAGGACCCCAAAAGTCTTTGCCGCTTGCAAGATCATGTTCATCAATGAAAAGAACATAATGCTTGAAGCTTGTGTTGAGATGAGCCTCTAATCCAAGCTCACGGATTACAGGGTAATGATGGCAGTAGATGTGAGCATAGACTCGGTACATTCTCTTGAAGACTTGTTTGATCATAGTTGAGAAGCCTTTTGGAAATGGGACACCTGCTTGAGGTTAGAATCACATATTATGAAGGGGGTGGTGTTCAAATGCATACCAATTCTGCTTGGGAAAACAGTTTCATTGTCGATACTAGCTTGAACCCAGGCCATCAAATGTTCAATATAAGTTGGTGCAGGCATCTTGGTCGGTCGTTTGAAATTCTCATTATCTTGCCAGAGATATTCAAACCTGTAAAACGTTAGCATTTGCTTTCCGAAGTTGATAGGTGAATGCCATACTCATCCGTAGCCTTCATTTCTGGGCAAGATTGTGGAGAGCAGAACTCTGTGATTGAACCATAGAGTAGATTTATATGATTGTAGAAATCCACCACTATTGTATCGTAAGCTTGTGCCAACCGTATGCCATCCAGTCTTCTTACTATTGACTGCAAGCCACTCATTCTCGTCTTCACCCTCTGGCAATTTGACAACCTTCCTCAAACTACCACCCCCAAGTGTTGCCTCGGCATATTGTCGCAATTGGTAGCTTGTCGTGCCTTTATGCGCATTTCGTGGACGAAATTGGTTTCTCGTACGTTGGTTACTATCAAAATCCCCTTGTGAGCAAGATGGTACATAAGCAGGTTCAGGTATTTCTATGAAAAACGGGTCGTCCACTTCCTCCACAGGTTCCAATTTCACTGAAACGGTTGCTGCAGAATCAGACCTTGTGAGCCCAATTACTGGTTGGAATTGCTTCGTTCGAGGGCTCCAATATGCGAGAAAGGAAGTCATCATTATATAGAAATCAGAATCACTAACACGGTGGTGATGAAGGAAGTCATCTTGCTTTAAATGAGGGGTATCTTCTACATTCCAAAGGTTAGCTGGGCAATGATAAATTATGGATGGGTAATTAATTGTACTCAGTCTTTACAGTCTTGGACAATCACTGTTTGCTGTTGGCGTGGCGGATGTAAAATTGCAATTACAAGAGATATTATAGTTGCGCCGAAAGACAAAGAGAGCATTAAAGGGTACCGGTAATGCAGTGTTATCGTATCGTATCGTTGCGAAAGAGGAAGAGTTTCCAATGCGATTGTTTACACCCATTTGGATTTATTTGGTTGGCTAAGCTACCCTTACACTTTGAAATCGCCAAATGAACCCAATCGATTGGCAATAAATCCTTGCCGCGCCTTCCCTACATACCACTTCCTTCTTTCATACTCTCATATACTCATATACTCATATACTCATACCACAGTAACCGATAGATAGCTTGTCAGAAGCTTGATATCTAGAAAGATTCATAAATACTAGTCAAAATACGGTACTCAATTGAACACTTTTTCATTGTCATTGTTTCACTATGCGGGCAGGTTCCTGTGAATCGAAGTTATTGCGACTGCATTCATGAATGGTAGTTATAGATTAGATCTCCTTCGAAGAGGAGGAGTGTCAATCGCCAATACAGCGAAATGTCAACTCTCCAAAGCAACATCCGCGTTTTCATTCAGTGGAAAGAACAAACCGTATTCGCGGGCGAAGATATAGAGTGCCAAATTACTTTCAAAAATGTCGCGACAACTCCAGCCTCATCAAAATCATCATTACATCCATCCGGGCCCAATGGGTACCTGCAGTCCCCCGAAAGGCACAGGAGACCTCCGTCGCAAATCAAAAATTCCACCCTGAGTCCGCAGTCTGGAGTACCAAACAGAGGTGATCATCGATCGTCCCTTTCCTTGACAGTACCACCCGAATCAGTGCATTCAAAACAATTGGAACAATGGAGTCGTGGAACATCGAGACCTGGAAGAGGAGTGGAAGGGCACAAGCGATCCGTGTCTATTATATCAATGGGGGCTAGTGAAAGTGCTATCGAGGAAGTCGCCAATCACGGAAGCTTGGCTGAGAGGCCTGGGAGGGGTGGCAGAGCCCATGGCCGGTCTGCAAGCTTGCAAATCGTCCCGAGGAGGAATGGAGTCAATGGAGGGCCGATGACAGGTAAACACTCTTGGGTCGCAAGGAAAGAGATGATCATTGACGTCTTCTAGCACCACTTAATTCTCGAATACCACCGCACCCTTCGCCGCTAATGGGCTCCTCTTTCCCACCAAATTCGTCCGTACCTCATAGTACCCCGCGGCGACATACAGGTACAAGTACTGCGCCCGGTACGCCTGCACCTGGAGCACATTTTGCGAGACGGAAAGACTCCACTCCACTTGCACCAGCCTTTAGGTTTCCAGCAACCACCTTCCCTCTAGTTGATAGCCGACGAAACTCGCATGTTGAAGATGATGGCGCGAACCACAAACTCCATGATTGTAACCGATTGCTTTCGCCAAGGTCGCGGGACACTGTACCACCTATTTCGGACCATATAGCACCGGCACCTATTGCCAGAATTCTCTCGCCATCTAGTATGGGAGGCACACCGCGAAGCAGCGGAGAGTTCTACACTCTAAGCAACAACTCGACGGAGACCCTGGCCTCCGAATACTTGCCACAACCATCAAATCGCATGCCCCCGTACAGTGGGCATCACATAAAACGGTCCTCAAATCTAGCTCCGGGTGGCAGTCACAGGCCACCAGAAACGTTAATGATGGGTTACGCTCAGATTCATGGGTCTTTCGTGCTGGATCCATCGTTGATCATTCAAGCCCCATTTGAAGAAGTGAAGCGAAAGGGTGCGATCGGCGGCCAAGGTGGTGGTGTGATAGGAGTAGAATCCAACAAAAGAGACAGTGGCCTTTTGCGAACCTTTGGTTGGGGGAGCCTAGGGGAATCATTAGGTGGTCTCTTGGGTGGCGGCGAGCTAAGTAGCATGAAAGATATGCGGGGCAGAGTCAATTCCCGTTCCGTACCTTTACTGTCGACGCCACAATCGATTTTGTTTGTGGACTTAAAATTGGCTCCTGGGGAAAGTCGGAGCTACAAATACTCTTTTAAATTACCCAGGGGCTTACCTCCTAGCCATCGAGGTAAGGCTATTAAGATATCTTACAAGCTCGTCATCGGCACCCAACGACCAGGAGGTGCCAAAGAGCAACAAGTCAAATCGGTCGAAATACCATTCCGGCTCTTAGGGAGTGTGAATTCCCATGGTGAGCTTCTTGGACATGACCTCATGTTACCTTACATATTACTCCGAGATCAAGCTAGAATTCAAACTATCAATACGCAGTCTGATGAGAGCTTAAGTTCCACACCCAAGAAACTTTCGGTTAATACTCAAAAGTCTCAGAAGCATAACGATTCGAATCTAGGTGATTTTCTCGCATACGTCGATGAACTAATTACGAAGCCAAGAAGGAACTCCAATTTTAATCTATTATCACCTACAGAAGATATAGGGTCTAGACGTCAATCTATCATCGAGGAACCTGCAACTGCAAAAGAAGCTATCGATATGGCTATACTTCGCAGTAATATTGCCACAGAATCTCAACAGAGTGCAAACCGATTCGAGATTGCTCGCGGTGGAAAACGAGTTGCGGTAGTTATGTTGGCTAGGCCGGCATATCGCCTAGGCGAAACTATCACTGCAGCCATCGAATTTACCGATGCTGAAATCCCTTGCTATGCAGTCCACGCAGCTCTGGAAACATCTGAGAAAGTCGACCCCTCTATCGCACTCCGTTCCGAAGCAAGTATCTTTCGCGTCACTCGGCGCGTTCACGTTTCTCATTCCGAATCTACACTCTTTGCTCGCCGTATCGTTTTTGCCCCTACCATTCCCGTCACCGCCACACCGGAATTTATCACTAGTGGTGTGTCACTTGATTGGCGTATTCGCATCGAATTTGTCACGCCTAGGCTGGCAACCGTGGATAACGAGGTTATTGATTTATCCCACGAATTGTTAGAAGAATATACGAATGATGAACGAGGGGTAGTCTATGCAGCGGTTCAAGGACTGGAATGTGAAAGCTTTGAAGTTGCTGTTCCAATCCGAGTCTACGGTGCCTTGGCCGGCACTACAGAGAACGGGGAAAGCGAGACGATGGGCCTCGTTGTATAACTGACATGAGATTACAAATGCTACAAATGATAAAAGATATGGATGGGAATATTTGGAAGGGATTGAACATTCAGCGCCAGCATTTTTCAGGCGTTATTATTTCTTTACGAGTGTTTATGATGATCAGTGGTTGATGCCTCTGTAGACTGTATTACAGGTGAAAGAGAATGAAACGAAGGGAAAGAGATGAACGAATGCATGGGCGGAGGTGGGTGAGAACGATTGTCTTTACATATAGTAGATGAGAAAGATATCTTTGAAGAAGATGTTCATATGGGATATCCAATCTAATACCAAAATCACAATCCGAACAATTACCGATGGGCGATATATGCCACTTGATGGCTAACCTCCTCTAAGGACCAGCTCCTGAATGGTAGGCTCTAGTGTACATCCTTTCATTTATTTGTATTCAGTCGAGCGAGCAATCCATGATTGAATTATCGTCGTCATAATACCAGAATGTCAGAGTAGCTCAGTAGCTGTAGGTCGGAGTTGCCTCAAGGAGTGTTCGGGTCGGCAGCGGCAGCGGGGTAGAACTCTTGGAAGCGGAGGGGAGTATGTAGCGTAGCGGCCCCGCGATTCTTGGCGAAATACCGGTAGATCTGCAGCTCGACTCCCATGCATTTTACTGTTTTAATATTTATGTGCGATGTTAATGTTAATACGAAGTATCTAAAAAGTATGAGTTATGGGCAATTGTATTGGATTAGATTGGATTGTGTTGTGTTGTATTGCGTGGGTCACGGTTCACCACTATTGAAAGTTGTGGGATTTCTTTTCGTGTTATTACTGGTAATGCTACTGTATAGTATATACACCTGCTGCTAGCTGGATACATTGTTACTATACCTACATAGCCACCTCGTATTGGAAAGCAAAATCATGAAAGTTTTCATGGGGAACCCCCATGAGTTTAATTTCCATCATCACGAGTTCCCCAAATTCCCATACAAACTGTTGGGTTTCCCCGACAATTCTCCAGCTTTTAGGCAAAAGTGGGATGAATTGACTCCGGATAACCTGCCACAATGGTATTATGTCGGTAGTTCCTCGCCATGGGGAAGTGGTCCTCTCCACTTGTGGAGATTCAATGTTCTCCATCTTTAAATCTTCTTCGTCTGAACTCTGCAGGTGCCATTGGGAGTGGTGATGATGAAGTTTGACCGACTCATCTTTCTCCCAGCTAATTTCTTCTGGATGGTATCATTGAATTGAGTTCCCGAAGATTTGCCATCATGAATGATATAAGTAGGAGAGATCGTCCAAAGGAGGGAGGCCAGCAGCTTCAGTAGACAGACAATTTACAATGGCTCCTCTACTTGATTTCTTCTCGGTCCTCGCTGGCTGCATTGCTACTGTTAATGGCCAGGCTTGGGACTCTTCTTTGTTCGAGACATCTCCGCCAGTCTATCCTTCTCGTATGTTACTTTCTTCTTCCTTCTCTCCACAATTCTTGAGTTTCTTTGAACTATTTGAACTTGAGCAGAATACTGACATCTCTTCTAGCTGAATTACAAGGTACAGGCTGGGAGGCTGCCCTCGGCAAGGCCAACGCTTTCATTGGTGCTCTTACACTGGAAGAAAAGGCCGTACTGTTAACTGGTGCAAATGGACCCTGTGTTGGGTAAGAGTCAATAATTGCTTGTATATCTACTCTTTACTAACTCCATCACAAGCAACATCTCACCAATTCCACGTGTTGGATTCAAGGGACTCTGTCTCCAAGATGGACCACTCTCCTTAAGACAAGCTGATGACGTTACTGTGTTCCCTGCGGGTCTTACTACTGCTGCATCCTGGGATCGAAGCCTCATGAACACCCGAGGGGAATATCTCGGCGCTGAATTCCGCGGCAAAGGTGCTCATATCTTCTTGGGACCTGTAGCTGGCCCTCTGGGTAGAAGTGCCATGGCAGGAAGAAACTGGGAAGGATTCTCTCCAGATCCCTATCTCACTGGAGTTGCTATGGAAGAAACAATCATCGGTGTTCAGTCACAGGGTGTTCAGGCCAGTGCCAAACATTTCCTCGCTTATGAACAAGAGACCCAGCGAAACACTGAAGGCATCTTTGATCCAAAGTGGTTCCCTAACGATACTCAACAACTCTCTGTTTCTTCAAATGTTGAGGATAGAACTCTGCATGAGTTATATATGTGGCCATTTTACAATGCCGTTCGCGCTGGAGTCGCAAACGTCATGTGCTCTTATAATCGAGTCAACTCGTCCTACTCTTGTCAAAACTCTAAGCTCTTGAATGGCTTACTCAAGACTGAGCTTGGTTTCCAGGGGTTCGTTGTATCTGATTGGATGGGTACTCATGCTGGTGTAGCTTCTGCCAATGCAGGCTTAGATATGACTATGCCTGGAGCTGCATGGATGGGCCCAATAGCTTCTGGAATTCCATCATACTTCGGTGCCAATCTTACTGCTGCCGTCAATAATGGATCTGTCTCACTCGATCGCCTCGACGATATGGCCCTGCGAGTCATGACTCCGTACTTCTTCCTTGGACAAGATCAAGATTTCCCTCTTATCGATTCCTCTTCAGGTGCTTATCCGCAAATGAACAGCTTCAATGCTCCGTCCACTTATGCATCGAACTGGACTACTTCCATGGGTACTCCCGATGTTGACGTTCGTGGAAACCACAGCTGGTTGGTTCGCGAACTTGGTGCAGCTGGAACCGTTCTTCTCAAGAATACCAACAATGCACTTCCTCTCAAAGCCCCCAAACGCATTGGAGTCTTCGGAAATGCGGCCGGTGATTTGACAAATGGTCCTTATCCCAAGGATAAAGATTACGAGTACGGATGTTTACCAGTTGGTGGTGGATCTGGTTCTGGCAGATTCTCTCAACTTGTTTCTCCTCTTGACGCCATCAAGACTCGCGCTGCTAAGGATGGCTCCATGGTTCAATTCATCTTAAACAACACACAACTAGCCACCCTAGGAGGTTTTAAAGATATTATTTACCCAGTCCCAGATGTATGCTTAGTATTTATCAAGACATACGCATCCGAGGGCGACGATAGAACCAGCTTGTCTTTCGATTGGAACGGAGACGAAGTCGTCGAACAAGTCGCCGCAAACTGCAGCAACACAATCGTCATCTCCCAAGCCGCGGGTGTAAACCTCATGCCATGGGCTGACCACCCCAACGTCACGGCTATCCTCGCGACTCATCTCTCCGGCGACCAAATCGGAAATAGTTTGGTAGACGTCCTCTACGGCGCATACAATCCCTCAGGGCATCTCCCATACACTATCGCCTACAATGCTTCAGACTATGCATTTGCCCCCATCACCACCAGCGTAAACTCTACTGCGCCAGGCGCCTGGCAGTCAGACTTCACGGAACGTTTACTCATTGATTATCGATACTTTGATTATCATAACATATCCGTACAGTACGAATTCGGATTCGGACTTAGCTACACCACATTCAACCTGACCAACCTCACCATCTCCCCCCTTTCCAACACCACACTTTCCTCGATTCCCTCGCCCATGGCACCAAACACCAGTATCCCGGGCGGAAACCCCGATCTCTGGACTCCCGTCTACCGCATCACGACTTCAATATCTAATACGGGAAATCTCTCCGGAGCAGCAGTTCCTCAATTGTATATCACGATTCCGGATACGGATGGAGAGATGCCGGTTCAACAGTTGAGGGGTTTCGATAAGGTGACTTTAGAGGTAGGTGGGAGTACGGAAGTGGAGTTTGAGTTGATGAGGAGGGATATTAGTATTTGGGATGTAGAGTTGCAGGAGTGGAGGATTCCGGAGGGAGATTTTGCGGTGAGGGTGGGTTTTTCGAGTAGGGATTTGAGGGTGGAGGGGAGTTTTAATGTTTAGATGGGGTGATGGGGTGATGGGAGATACAGAGAAGAGGAAAGGAAAGGAAAGAAAGATGGTCTTTGATGAATTATGTTTAATGATTTTGGTACGATCCAACGAGCGAGTTTATGGTAAGAATTTCATGTATATAAGGATTGTATGACTACTGAGAGAATAAAGTCAATATATATAAAATCCAATCACAAATGACAGGTCCTGCGCATATAATTGCTATTACACTCGAGTAATAGCTGTAGAATTTAAATCGACTGTGTTTTTTTGTCAAATATATATATGCTTAGTGGAGTCGTAGACGAGTATAGTTGGGTTCTTAGTAGCTAGCTGTAAGCTGCGAAATCAGCTTTGACACATCGTCAAGTTGGTTATGTGCTGTTCGATCTTCGCATGTGGCGTGGTGTGGTGTGGTGTGGTACAGTATGGTTGGTTGTCTGAGAGATTGGATTGTCGTTTAAGTTTCGGCTATTTAGGGGGTTTGGGTTTTTGCGTGGTAGATTACGCTTACACGATACACAACTAGCTTTGAATGAAAAATATTTAGTTGTTTAATGACTTCTTTGAGAGAATCTCAGTCCCTTCGGAATATATTCTTAAAATTGACTTTTCAACTCCCGATTTGAAATTAAGATATCAAGAGATCTAAATCTTCAAATAATAATACTTGGTTTTGATTCAAAGTCAGAGTCTTGAAGCAATTGATGATTTTCTTATTTTTTTATATTAGATTGAATTTTAAAGCTACTTGTATATATTGTAATATAATACCAAATATATTGTTCGGAGAAGAAATCAAGAATTCAGGTCATGATTCGATGATGTACTCGAGTATCATTGGGCTGTGTAGCACTCCCGTCCGTTTCTATCTGCTGTACGTTTCTGCACCTATTTCAAGTTTCGTTTTGTTCATCTATTGGCTCTTGCTCCAATATCGCTTTTCGCTTAATGGACTGTATCGGTATCGAACAAAAAAGAAAGTCTATTCTGGTACTATACTATACCTAAGTATCAGTGTACCAGTAGAGGCCGAGGCTTCCAAATATATGAGGCATTGAGATATCAAAAATAGCTTACTTTGATTATAGAAATTTAGATGATTAAATGATTGTAAAACTTCGGTTTCCCGTTTCCTGACGCTGTGCTACTGCCACAGTCTAGACTGCATAAGACTGTGTCTTGCTCCTGACTAAGTATATCTTGTAGATTCAGATCGAACCCATAATTTTTACAGAAAGATAGAGCGAAATTTGGAATAATTTTGATGTAGAACTTGGCTTTATACGCTGATATTTGCAAAGTGGATGTGAATGTCTCGATGATGAGATAGAGGATAGAATGAGCTTTATTTAACAAATGATGGAATTTGATGAGTGTACAGAAGAAATCTTGGCAGTTCAAATTGAAGCTACCTAGGCCACTGAAGCTGTTATATATATGGTTGAGAAAGTTTGGAAAGAAAGAGGAGGAGGACGAAGAAACTACTACTTTTAGCGGCGACTAGATCTCAAGGAAGACTCTATTGCTAACTCAATTAGATTTCTTTGAGCCAATTAGATTCATTATTATAATACCTAATTCCTAAGTGATGAACGAGAAGATGATATAATACCGACACAAAAATGGAAAGTGCGGACATGTCCACAAATGCGGGGTAATTTCCGCCCCGCCTAATATTAAAACTCACCTCACCTCAATCCACCTCTCATCCCCTATCTCTCCGTTCCCATCTCCCTGCCACAAACGATGGCACCCCTAACTCCTCATTCCGTAGCTCTCATAACTGCTTCCTCAGAGGGTCTTGGTGCTGCTACAGCTCGACTGTTCGCTTCCCGCGGCATCCGCGTGATCATCAATTATTATTCTAGCGCCGAGAAAGCCAAAATGCTCGTAGAAGAATTGGGAAATATCGGTTATATCAAAGACAAACTAGATGGTGATAAAAGGGTGAAAAGAGTTACGACTATCAGAGCTGATATGTCGAAGAAAGATGAGGTGGAGAGATTAGTCAAGGAGAGTGTGGAGTGGGGTGGGAGGTTGGATGTTGGTAGGTCCCCATCATTTTTTCTGACTTGTATACCGGTATTGTCAGTGTGAAAGAAGAACTAACTCAAATACATAGTCGTTTCAAACCATGGATGGACCCAAATCCGCAATTTCCAGGATCTAGACGATAATGTAGTCGAAGAAGATTGGGATCGCTGTTTCAATATGAATGTCAAGTCACATTTATGGCTTTTCCATGCCGTGAAGCCGTTTTTAGAAAAGACGGATGGAAGTTTTATATCTACTGCTAGTATCGCGTCCGTATTCTCCCTTTCATTTGTGTTGTTTTGTTTTGCTAAGATGGATGAACGGGTGCTAATAAGATGATTGTGCTAGTGGTGTAAACCGAGCGGAAGTTCTATGGTACGTTCTTGTTCGAGGATAAGCTGGACGTAATAGATTGAGAGTAAACAACTGATTCGGTGAACACCATATAGGCATATTCAGTAACGAAAGCTGCTCAGATCCATCTTATCAAGACATTAGCTGTTACTTCAACCATACGTGTGAATTCCGTTTCGCCGGGATTGATGCTCACCGTAAGTCTAATATTCGATCCCTTCAATCTTTGACCACATTACACAATACTATGATTCAGTGAGGTAACATAGGACTGGGGTCTCCAGTTCCCCGAATCGAAAGTAGAAGGAGTGAAGAAGAAGAGTCCTCTAGGAAGACTTGCTACTGTTGAGGAGGTTGCTAGACAAATATACTGTTTAGCTGAGAGCGAAAGTACCACTGGTACAAATTCTATCATTGATGGGGGAATTCATTTGGGAAAATAGAATCTTGAGAGATGGAAAAGGGATACCGGTAGGTTTACTTTATACCGAGCAACATTCGAATGTAAGGTTACACATCAAATGTTCCAACGGGTTCCCATAAACCTGACAGTTTGGCATGAAGCAGATTATTCGTACCACGCCTTTATTTTATAAATAGGCGCGAGCGTTCTCAAGCATATAGCCAATTGTGAATATATCTCTCAGACTCCGAATCCATCCACACTAATTTTTCCCATAACAAGTATGTTTTCCACGAGTTGAGTGCCATTATCAAACAACATCGCACTTGTACAAAATAACAAAATGCCCCGCGGAAAATGTGCATTAGTCTCTCTTTCAAACCTTCCCACCTCCATCACTAAACACATCCCGTAACACAATAATCTACTCGAGTACAACTCTACTTGTACCAATGTAATCAGAACCATTTGGTACAATCATCCTATAGTATGAAGTTAATTAGAACTTGTAGAACTGAATCGAGATACATATGTTTCATGATCATTCTATTCCATACCTCTCCTTCAAATTATATAACTTCTTTCTATATCTTACTCTTAATCTTACATACCACACTACACTCCACGCACATGCCAAAAATGTTCTAACCCAACTTTTTACATTCTATCCTATCTTCTTCCTCCTTTCTTTCTCCTTTTATCCTCATCCTCTTACCATTTCACCAGCAAAGAAAAAGAAAAAGAAAACTTGCAAAAACTCACTTCTCACACTTCTCACTCACACTCCTCACACTCACATTCCTCACACTCACACTCCTCACACTTATCAAAGAAATCAATACGAGTATGAACGCAAAGAGTCTATAGATATCAATAAAAACAGAATACCCAGGATCTAAAATATACAATCTAAGTTCCTTACTTATGCTTATGCTCATGCTCATACTCAAACCCGATACCGATACCGATACCGATACTGATATAACCATGTATCCACCCATCCACGTATCATACATCACATCATGCATTAAAAAACTCCCCTGATTCCCATCTAATAACATACTATATTCGAGTATCGTACTCGGTGTCATTGACCCATGTACAGAACACCACCATATGCCTAGAACTAGAACTAGAACTAGAACCAATACCAGCACCGTAGTAACACTCCCAGACACTCATCTACACCCCCAATACCCAAACCACCCCCAAACCATCTCCAATGCAATCTCCAATCCAAAGTACGATCCAATCTCCAATGCAAACTCCAATCCAAACCCAAACAACAACACCACCACCATTACACAAAGAACCAAAAAACAACCTCATTCTCATTCTTATCCTCATAGCATAACATAGGCTGCATACCAAAGGCAGCAAAACAAAGTCCCAAGTCCCAAGTCCATCCATCCATCTATACATAGATAACGTTTAACCACTCTCACTCTCACTCTCTACTCGAACATATGAGTCTTAATCTTGATCATGATGGATAGGATAACTACTACTAGGTATATAGAGTATAAATATAAATCATATCATGTATGGATGGGTATATGGATAGATATATGCATATCATGAATATTGTAGAGTGAGGGAGTGGTAGGGATGATGTAAGCATAAGCATGTATGATACTCCCAATGAGCCTTGATCTTTTCTTCCCCTTTGAGGAGAGGAGGGAAGTGGGAGATAGTTCCAGTCCCCGGTGAGCCTCAGTTTTGAATGTAGGAGGAAAGAATAAAAACGGATGAAATGTTGTTGAATTCCTAAATCCCGGTGAGGTACAAGACAATGTCAGGTTCAATTCGTGGGCTACTAAGCCTTAACTTGGGGGTTTCAAATGGCGATTCACACTTTGAACCAATGTGATATCGAGGGATATAAGATCTGATAGAATGAATGAATGTATGTTTAGAAGCAATATTAAAAACAAACTATACTCCTAACCAAAACTAATTTTCTGCCTTGTCAAATCTCTAAATACATCATCCAAGACATTCCTCTTCCTCTTTCCTCCCTCAGAATCATCAGTATCAGCTATTTCCCTCTCTTCCTCACGGTCTAATTCTGCATCTTCTTCAGTACGGGGTCGCCATGCTCTAATCTGCCCATCCGTATGAGCAGAGTATATGCCATCGGCCGGCTCTCTCCAAGCCAACGCTGTAATACGATTTTTAATATTTCGTTCTCCGGTTCGAGATCGCACTGCTGCTACATTGGGACCAGGAACCTTGAGTCGCTTGAGAAGACGACCCTCGTGGAGTTGAAAACTAGGATTTCTGTTTCGTTGGGAAAAAGTAAGAGTTCTTTCATGGGAGGCGTCAATGCTGTGGGTGATACTACAATAGGCAAACTTGAGAGATGCCCATTCTTCAGTGTTGGCCCAAAGCTCGCAAGGGTATTTGCACCCGTAGCTGCATCCCAGACACGAATCCTTTCATCATGCGCTGCAGAAATGATGAAGTTTCCATCATCTGTCCATGCAAGGCCATTTACAGCACCCGTGTGAGCTTTAGCAGAAGCTCTTGATCAACCACCTGCCAACCCATTTGTAACCGTAATCCCTATCGCATCTTCCAAATCTAGGGAACCCACTGCGCCAGAACTCTTTCGAATATCCCACAGACGAATGGTACCATCGACACACTCACTCGCTAGTATATGATCAACGTTCGGATGCCAAGCGACTGAAAGCAAAGCCCCATGATGTCCGGCTAATGAATGTGTACTTGCGCCGGACCGAAGATCTACGAGCCTGACAGCTGGGTCGCGCAAGCCACCAGGAGATGCTGTGCAATGGGAGATACGGCATGGGAATAGACGATGGAGTTTAGGTCGAAGTCTGCAGATGGTTGGAGAGTCTCTGTGGAGTATAGCTTGAGATGATGATCGTATGACGAAGAGAGAAAGGCGGCAGAATCGAAAGGATAGAAACTAAGATGCGTAACGCCATATTTGTGCGCGGAAGCATTCCTGGTAACCCGAGTTAGTGGGTGCTCTTTCAAATAAATTGGCACAATGATAGAATAGAAATCTGTTAAATATACCTGGGGACTATTCCGGTTGGTCGGAATGTATATTTTGATGCCCCGGTGGGGATTTGATCAAGATCCCAAACTTTGATGGATGCATCTGCACCACCAGAAAGAAGACTAAATATCCTCTTGTTAGTCCGGAACTTTCATTAAGTTTATTGATTCATTCATTTCTTTCTTACATTTTTCCTTCGAATCTATCTATCGAAAGTGCATTCACTCCAGTCTGGTGCGCCCATAGCTTCGCCGGTTCATAATCTCGAGCTTCCGCATCTGCAGCTATCGTCGGAGGGGTTTCACCACCATTGAATTGTAGCTTTGGAGCCGGTGAAATCGCATGGATTAGCTGGGTGGTTTGGATGCGCGCAAAGGCATTTGGGTCGAGATTGCCCGTTGATCGATCAAAGATCAATTGATTCATGCATTGGTGTACGGTATACTATCGTATACTCGACAGGAAAGGATTCAATTGAAGTTTACTAGGTAGGAGATGATTGTTGGTCTGCTTCAATAATATACTCGAGTATCATTGAGAAGTGATGCTTATAAGGAGTGAAGCCTGAAAGAATTGCGACGACACAGTAGGTACAGATTACGTGGGGTTGTTTTGTTTGGTCATCGTCATACATACCGGTATCCTTTATCCTTCCTATCCTTGAGCTAAACATTTCTAGAGTGCTCCAGTTCCAGCCAGACTCAGCTTCAACGATTTTTATTATTTTTACATTTACATTCCAGACACCAACTTTCAAGGACACTATGACTTCAACAGCATTCTCACAGAACACCTTTGTGAACCCAAACGCTGAAGAAAAAAAGGCAACTAATGGGGACAAGGTTTCACGATCAAGAAAACATTCCGTCTACGACGCTGTTGCAGGTAACATCCCATACACAACATTGCTCGGAGATAAAAGTTACGTATTGACATGTTGCTCAGGTCGGATTTCTGCAGCAGGTTTCATTCCTAGAAGTGTGGTTGTCTCCTCAACTCGGGATACTACATCATCCTCTTTGAGCGCTGTGCCTCCCGAAGCTGTATTGTTTCGGAGCAAAAATGCACCAACCAGATATGCCGAATCGGACATCTATTTTGCAAATGAGCGAGAGTCGCCGAAGGATTTGCCCGACTCCGATCTCTTGAAATCGCTTCACACCTACACTTCGGATTTCTATTCTCGTGCAACTGTAGAAGGGGGGTCTACAGATTGGCGCAGCATGGACGAAACGGCTTTGATAGGACTGGGTATTTTGATGGAAGAAGCATCTCGAGAAATCCTGGGGGCAACGGGCGACCTAACGTTCACGGAAGGAGAAGAATCCAATATCAATATCCCTGAGCGCGGTCAACGTTCTCGAACAGGCAGCGTTATCAGCCCACCACCCCAAGAAGCCAGGAAATCCGCAAAAAGAAGACGCATCATCCTTGACAATGGAACAGATTGAAATAAGACATACGTACTTATTAGACAGCCCTGACCCGAGTGTTAGCGAGTTGGGGTTACTGTCACATTGAGTTTTAGACGAGCTTTGTTGGGCAGCCACCAACACATCAAAAGTTAAATACGGATGAACAGATTGTGACCAGTCAGGATATTAGAATATCGAACAGGCTCGCTATCAATCTATTTGTTCCCGCCCAAACATACAAGTAGGAGATATACGAGTAGGAAATATACCAGTAGGATTGAGATGGACAGGGAGGGTTGGTGGCGTGATATATATTTTTCATTTAATCGAGTTAGCCCTCACAGTTAAGAGACGAGCCCGGATACCAGTATATATGTCGGTATGTTCGGCAGCCAATGCGGATGCTATCTCGCCGTTGCTTTCCGATTCATTGGAAGGTTCAAAGCTGATGGTGTACACCGAAACAAACTTGTGCGACATTGGTCAAATATCAACATTTGACCCTCACGTTCTCATTTGACGCATCTAAGTAAGCTTGCATACTTTGTGTTACACCGACATTTGCGCTTACTCTGATAGTTCACGATAGCTTTTGGTTATTCTGCTCGCTTAAAAGATAATTACTGGTATGCATAAAAATAATAATAATAAAATATCATTGAAAATTAGACAGCTCGGTTACCGTATTATTGGGGGATTTGTTCTATCAATAAGCTAGGGTTCAAAGGCTGCTTGCTGGCTTGCTTGCTGGATTTACTCGGATCCTAGTCTAGTCTGTCTACCAGGAGAAGGTGAAGATTGACTTTTGGTTGGTGACACAGTGAAGGGGTCCGAGTACCGTGGTCCGCTGACACGTGGAAAAAAAGCTCCTTACAAGGTAGACCTGATTAATCTTGGTCTTGGGGTCTTGGGTCTTGAACATTTCGGGTTTCATTATTGAATGATTTGAAGGAGGGGTTGAAAGTTCACCGTTTTCCTTATCTATATTGTTTGCTCTATATACTCTAGAGATATGTTTTATTTCGGGATACTAGTTATATGCAATAGATAGGTAGTACTCGAGTCTTATATCAATAGTTTGTCTTGTCTGTCTAAAAATAACAAGGATTGCATATCTCGACGAGTCGTCTTGTGAAACAAACGAAATGATGCAGATCTAGATCGATTGAGATTATTGGAATATAAGATTTGAGATTTGAGATCTATTTCTAGGATTATTTATTGCTAAATCACTCTACTCGGGTACTGTACTTACTCGAGTATAGTATTATACAATATGATATACAATAAAGCAAGATTTGTACACCTATATTATATATTAACCTCCGAGAGCTAGGCTTCTATTGGTCATATCGGAGGATTTTGATTACCCAGAAAAGCAAGTACCGGTTCTGGAAGCAATCATTACCATCAATCATTTATATTATACACAACCTAGTTTAGCTGTCTTATTCTTATCATCATTTTCTCCTTGGCCCATCTGAAGTTCTCTCACACAACTCGAGTACTCGAGTAGTACAATATATATCAGCCTTCCGAATTGATCAATCGCATTTTTCCCATCAGCAAATCGATCTCGAAGCGGTGAGGTTCCATTCATATCTATCTACACAGTGCACAGTGCATATACGTACAGATCGAAAATCATCAGATGATCCGCATCCAGTCGCATTGATATGCACCCTGTCCCCGTCCGTCTGTTCTTCACATCTTTCTAATACATACTACTTGGGCATGCGGACGGCGCGCAATTTAGTTCTTGCCGGTCGGTGTGTTTATTGTTGAGTCTTGACAACTGACAATCTGACAATCTTGACAAGAAGGTTTGCTAGGAATTCTTGGGGTTGGTTTTATTGATGATTAGTTGATATGATGGTATAATACCCTTGTTTGCCGCGAGATTTTTTTGGGCTGCAATAGATGGAGCTTGGTTGTGGGTTATGTGTTATAAGTTATGGATTCGATGGTTTGGTTGAGATGGTGATGGTGATGATGATGATGATGATAATGCACTCTGTAAGGAATTGCTATTTGGGAGGTTTGATGTTTTGATATTGATATTGATTGATATTGATATTACAGTACAGTACAATCCAGTAGTTTCTAGCTCTACTTAGACGAGTCGCCGATAATATATATAATATACAGAAGCTATATACTATAGAACTAGTATTCTAAGAATATAATACTTCTATATTCTATCTATAATAATACTCGATTAGATTTTATATTCGAGTATATAGATTTGAAAAATATAATTAAATAGTATTTTCTATACTCGAGTATATAACGCATTTTTTATATACGAGTATTTAATACATCTAATATATTTTATACTTATTTATATTATATTTATTAGTCTAAACTAATTCAAGTAGATTAACAAATAATAATCGAGCTCTTTCTGTACTCTGATCGTTTGACACATTTTCGTTTTATATCTGGCGCCTTTTCCGCTGTATTCTTATTTATTGTTTTGTTCTATTGTATTTGCTTGAGTTGAGTAATGTGATATATTGATACAGTTGCTAGTAATTGTAGATATGCATACCTGGGTAGGTACAGTACCGGTACCGGTATATCATTATAGAATAGCGATCATTTGGAAAGAGATGAGGCAAAAGGAGGCAGAATGAAATCTTTTAATAATTATACAATATAGAACTGCAAGAAACCCAGACAAGAAGAGATCAAGCCTATACCAGCTAGATGATTGAGTCAGATATGTAAATCTTATACGCTTGAGAAGAAACAGAAGAAACCATTTTCCTTCCAGAAAACCCCCCAAAAAAAAGAAAGATGATTGGAAACTTTAGTTCGATATTATATCCACAAGTTTCTTATGATTTGAAATTGGAATTGGAGAGGAGGTTTATTATTTATGGTATGGGTGTATCAAGCGAAGGATTTTCGAATATATGAAAAGAAAAGAAAAGAAAAAGAATGAGTGCGGGATTGCATGGTGTCTCCCATGTCCGAGGGCTCGGTATACGGAGTATAAATCTGATCTTACCCTATTAATATAATTACCATGACCCAGGAGGCCCTGTTGTTTTATTGTATTGTAAGATATGATTCTGATTCTGATTCTGAATAAGCTGCTGGAACAATGGGCTATGAGCTATGATGAAAAGCTTCAGTTTGTGATTGATTGTGTGTTGGAGATGTTGTGTGGATTAGATTGTGTTTGCTATTTGAGCCATTGTATATAAACAATATTGAGATTGAGGTTCGTTCGCATGTGTAAGGAGCAGGTCATACGACATTCGAGGCTGACAAGCCCCCTGCTTGGCACAGGGAATTACCTAGTACAACATGAAAGTGATTGACGCCTCTGCATCCTTTCCCTGTCCTTATTGTATTGCAAGAGTTGAATAAATAATAAAGGAGGATTATTATTGTGATAGTAATTCATTCTGCACTGAGCGAGCTGGGTAAAACTGGTAAAATGCACTGGATGGATGTGGTTCTACAGATAGGGCCAGACGAGAACTATCAAATCCCCTCATATATATGATTGGTCGAATTTGAGACCAAAGAGGGAGGTTATCCTGGCTCGGCTTACTGGCTCGCAGCTCCTGCTGGGTATGCGATGTGCTGGTTGGGTGTTATGCAGATCCGGATATATAATCTTGAGGATGATGTGGTGGTTGGGGTCGTGATTGGATAAGGGGGAGGGGAGGAGGGGGTGAGGGGGTGAGGGGGTGATCAGTTTGTTGATTGATCTTTTATTGTTCGGGAATTTTGTTGATATATTGTGTGTGTACAGGTACAGACAAGTACATAGATGTTTTGAAAGATAGTTGAGATGCCATGTGGTGATATTGTCTGTACCTAGGAACTTTGATGTCGGTACAGTACAATATACATACCTATTATATATATATACACATGGCTTGAATTCCTCATCGACAATGACCATGTTTTTCTTCGCTCATCAAATCTTGTACAAGGAACTCATTCATGTTATCAAAAAGGATAAGTATGCCAGGTTGTCCCACTTGAATGACATTCAATAGCCAGATCTTTTCTTTTCTTTCTATCAAAACAATAATACTGTAGAAATAAATTACTCGTACTCTTATGGGTAAGGTCTACTTGAAGGTAAGAATAGTGGGATGCAAAGGTGGATGAATGTAGTAAGTACAAGTTTAAATATTGATTGATATTCAACAAGAATCGGATAATCATCAGCCTTCATTCACTATGTACTCTCTCTCATCCAGCCTACATTACCTATTACTCAAATACTACCTTTTGTAGAATTAATCAAATATGCAACCCAGTATCTGTTTGCCTGCCCTCTCACATCTTTTCACACTCTTTTTACTTCTTACCACGCCTCATTCACCTAGGTATTCAAGGTCCAGCCGGCTTGGGTGTTACATTAACTCATTAAGCATTCTCACATTTCACAAACCGCTACATTAAATCACCCCTTCCCTTCCTCCCCCCCTTGTCAACCCCCCAAACTATTGTCAAACCCAAACTATCCTATTCCCAAGCTTCCAACTTATTATATCGCCTATTTTCGGGTTGGTTGGCACCGGGTAACTGGGCACAGAAGCTTTCATGAACACCACCTGAACAACTGAACACTGCACACTGCTGCACACTGCACCGATTTTCAACACTTGAATCCTGGGATTGCGAAAGTGAAGTGCGCTGTGTGGAAGGGAATACAGATCCAAAGAAGATAGAAGAGACTTGATACAGGGGAGAGACCAATCAAACAAATCAGGTCTTGGAGGGTATCTGTACGACAAGCAACCAACCAACCTCTAACAAGCATCCTGAACCAAACCTAGCCAGCCATACATCTCCAACGGCTTTCGACTGCGTCATATTAAGTAGCACAGGAAGGCTTTCCTTCCATATATTCTAGATCACAAATACACGGGTTAGTACATGGATTTTTTGGATACCTACTTGCATAATAATACTCTTTTTGATATCATTTTTCGACTTTAACCCCGAAGTTTGCTTTTTTTGTTGTTATTAGATATATATAGTACTGTACGGGGTAATGGGTAATGATAATTCAAAAATCAAAGACTTAGGGTTTTAGTTTGAAATTGAAAAAAAGAAAAGATAAAAGAGAGGGAAATCCTAAGTTTTGATTTGATATAGGAGTTTTCTTGCTTGATTGTGAAGGTTTCAGAATTGATTCTTTTCTTTTTCTAACAAATTTCCTTGTATCTATCTATCTATTTACCTATCCGAGTATCAAGAAACCAGCAATCACAGCAACCCACCTTTCTGCACATATTTCACCCCTCAATGAAGCCTTTAGGTTTTAACTATACCTCACCTTCACTAGGTAACTTATTAACTTACCAGTTAGTCACTTCACTACTAATACACTACTCAACGTTAACGTACCCGTACCGTACCGTACCGTACCGTACCGTACTGTACCGTACTGTACCGTACTGTACCTTACCTTCCTTACCTTACCTTGTACTCCCGCCCACTACTATCTATCGTTAGCACCAAAACAAAAGAAATATTATTATTCCTATCTCATCCCCATCCCATCCTATCATATCCTATCCTATCCCACCTTCACACAAAGAAGGAAGAAATAAATAAATAAGAGAAACCTGGAATCCCCAGCTTCTGTCCCAGCTACCTACTACAGACTACTACAGAGACTACTACAGACTACAAACTGCAAGCTACAAACTACCGGTACAAACTACAGACTGCCTGAGAACTACGGATTACAGTAATTCATATATTATAATCATTTATTACCATTATTATCATTATTTATTATTATTATATATGTCTCTCTCTCTTATTTGAAAGCCCCCTCCGATTATATATAAAATATCCAAAACAAATTGGAAGTAACCCAGAAAACATCATTGCAGATCTTTCCCTCCACTTGAAAGGGTTAATCAATCAATTTTTAAGGTAATGTTCTGAAATTTCTCATGGATATGATATCGCTTCTTCCATTCCACCTTGCTCCCGCGCACAACTATATTCAAGGGGGACCACTTGCTTAGTACTTGGGTAGTAGCTCGTTGATAGCTTACATATGGCTGATCTTCAAAACCTTGTTCAGGCAGACTTGTTTACGATCTTAAGTTCTAACATCACTACTCACTACAGTACTCAGTTGCGCGACATTCGTTACATCACACACATGATTACCTACACGTCAAGTCCGTAATACATACCTCCGCAGATGATTCTCCACTGAGTTCTGCTAGCCCTCTTGTGTTCTCCTCGAACCTGTAAGAAGCCGCCGCGCTCTACCGCCGTTCATGGACCTAGCTGTTGTGGCCACTTAACCTTTTTATAAATCACAATGATGGACAATGGTCAACCAGATTCAAAACGACCAAGGTTAGGACCCAGTCCTGCGACTTGGTCGACTGAGCAGCCCAATCAACCCAACCCTTCAAGAGCCCTGCCTCCTTTACAAGCTCCATATAATAACGGCCCATACTCTCGTCCCGACCCTCATGCCCACCCCCTCGATGGTAGACGAATCTCTACCCACCCCAACTTCCAAGAACATCAAGACCCTCATCGCCCCAACTCAGGACATTCGCATGTCTACCACAACATACATAACAACACACATCCTATCCCTCCATATAATGGACATAATGGACACAACGGTGCTCGAGAATCCGTCGTGAAGCCAGACCCTTCTGAAGAACCTCCACAACAACGCAGGCCACCACCCATAACCAATGGTACAGAGCATCATGTAAACCCGGCCTATGCCGAAGAAAGAGGAAGGCCCTTTCCCCCGAGGTTCGATCAACCTCCAGCTCCGCAGCATACTCCGCAGATGTATAACAACAACCCTGCTCCTCCCATGTATCAGCCTCAACCCCCGCCCCCCTCTACAAGTCCGATGACTACACCAACATTCGATGGGCCCATGTCAATGTATGGTCCACCACAAAACCATCCCCATCCTCCACGCGAACAGTATTCAGTCACACCTTATTCTCAACCCGCGAAACCTCGGAAAGCGCAACGCGCGGCTCAGGCATGCGATAGCTGTCGCAACTTGAAGGCGAAATGCGACGAAGGGCGGCCGGCTTGTGGTAGTTGTAAAGAGAAGAATTTCGACTGCCATTATCGAGATCCACCACCCAAACCGTAGGTTTAGAGGAAGGCTGTAATTGATATGTTGCTGACTAGTTTAGGATTGATAAAGCTTCAACAGACATCATCGAGGCCTTACTGCGACTGGAAAACCGCAGCGAGAAATTATTCAAAGTTTTGACGGCAGGTTTGGATACATTGAACAAACGAGTGAACGAACTGTTGGACAGAGAGAGAGAAAGAGCCGGGCAACCTCTATCGAGTATCGAGGGACGCACGAAACAAGAAGGGGGAGATGATGTTCAATTACCTGATATTTACCGATCATTTCAAGACTCGGATCCGAATATACTTCATAATGCCACGCCGATAGATACACCGGCGATAGTCCCAGTTCAGCCACTCGAAGGGTCTACCCCAGGTGTCATTGAAGAGGAGGAGGAAGGCGATCCTGTGCCACCTGGGCAACCTTTGATACCCGTGAATCATACGACGGGCGCAGCTAGGCTTTTGCTGGTTTCTTCTATAAAACAGATGGTAGACGGAGGCGGAGGTTTACCCAAGACAGTGAGAGACGAGAAATATTCTATAGTGCAAGAAGAGCGACGTGGACTGCTGAGATTATTTGGAAGAGGAGAAGGGACCGATCTGGCTCGGGGCTATGACCGAGATCCTATGACGGATCACGCCGATTCTATAGTCGACACGAATTCCGATATCTCTTCTCCCGCAGGTGAAGAATGGGGTCAATTAGGTGGCATGACTCCACCATCTAGTGCGCCAGATTATCCTCCACCAGTCGTGGGCAGTATCATGTCAGATGGGATGCCAGATTTCCGAAAAAGTGTAGTTTTGGACTTAGTCAAAAGCTACAAGGAGCACATGCATATTCTGCATCCGATTTTGATACCAAGGCGACTGGATGCTCTAGTAGAGTCATTTCTTAAATCCATTCCATCGGATTCTGCGAAACCAAAGCAAGTCCAGCATTTGGCTTCGCAACATGCTGGTTTTGTCAGTATGAAACCACCAGAGAGTCCGGGAACGAAACGGAAAAGATCACCGGGGGTTGGAGAATCTCCAGAAATCTCAATCACCGGTGGTTATGGTTACGTTAAGCCAGGCCATCCCAGTCGCTCAATTAGCACAGCTTTAGTACTGGTGGTATTAGCCCTAGGCAAGGTTTGTCAAGAAAGAGGAAAAATTCCCGAACTTCCTTCGGACAAAGACATCGAGAACAATTGGGGCCATATCAATTCTCCGAATGTACGAAATGGTTTTCCATCCCCTGTTCAGAGCTCTCCCACTCAATCTTCGGAACTACCGTCGCCTCAGGAAAATGCCGAACGATTTTATCCCCGCAGCCGGAGGACGTCGATAGAAGGTGACTACTATATGTCAAGAAGTGGCTTCAGACCTCGAAATGTGGATGTCATTCCGGGTCTCGCATACTTCGCCCTTGCCACGGATATTATTGGAAATCAACTTGGAGGAAACAGTCTACAGCATGTTCATGTAAATATTTTAGCTGGTCTTTATCACGGACAACTTGCAAGGGTGTTGGAAAGTCATTCCTACATTCATCAGGCTTGTCGGGCTTTGCAAGTTATTTTGAGACCGTAAGTTATGCCCAATTGTGTCTAATGCAACAACTAACATAAGTGTTAGAAAACTGGATCGCTTCAAAAAGTTGAAGCAATCCGGGTCAAAGGTGTTGGCTAAGGATAACCCGCTGGTTTTTGCATTTTGGACTTGTCTGCAGCTCGAAAGGTATGCTTATCTCATCTAATTGGTATTCTTTAAGTTTTAACGTCACATGTTAGCGATATTGTGGCAGAGTTACCATGTCCACACTCTGGTATTCTTACATACGAAGAGAACATGCCAAGTCCAGACATATACGAAGCTGTACAAGACGGTTTCGACGAGGAGGTTATGGCGAGTTATCAAGGCCAGCTCTACCTACGCAAGCATCTTAATCAATTACATAATATGTTTTACAACCCCGAAAATGGTATGCTCCTCTAGAATCTTTGGATGCGAGAAAAGCTGCTAACGTTTTATGAAAAGAATCCCAATTTCCTTCTGTTTATCCCCGCAAAGACACAAACCAGTTTGGATCAATAGTCACCGCAGAAGATTTTTTGTATCAGTGGAAAGGAGCAGGAGCAACAACTTCCTGGCATGAAAATGACCCTCCGGCGACGGACATTCTCACAGCACGAATGAGAGCCAAGTACTACGGCGCGCAAGTCATCACATACAGGAACTTCATTTTGAAAATTTTGGATCACTCACACGCTGTATCAAGCTCAAACATGGTAGAACGTGACCTGGACGATCTCCGAAATGGAGTAGAGGTGCCGAGCATCAATAAATGTGCGGCATCAGGAGCAGAAATTGATCAGCAAGCACTGAATTATGCGAAGAAAGGTATCCAGGCACTTGTTAATAGCACCAGAGCATTTCATGGTCTAGGGGAAGGTAGACTGTTGGTCACAAATCCTTGGGGAACTGCACATGCGTAAGTTTAGACCTGGTTGTATTACATGAGAGCACCTACTGACATAATAAATTAGTCAATGGGGCAACGTCCTTACTCTTCAAGCTGCATGGAATGACAATATTCTCCGACCATTATTCGATGGCATCCTTGACAAACAACGGCTCGGTGATCTCCTCAAGAGAACTCTAAGTTTCCTTGGAATCGTAGCAACGCGTTCCTCAGCCCTCTATACCGATATGAAAATCCTGGTCAACTCAGGAAAATACACAGGTCTACTTGAGAGAGACTTTCAGGCACGTCAAGTTCCCACTTTCGCAGCAGGGTTTACTAGCTTCTCTGGTTCCTTCTCGATATAACTTTATGCATCTACAAGAGTGAGGTGGTAAATCTACTGCTGAGACTGGATCTGCGTTTGAATTGGCATCGTTAATACATCTACCTCATGGAGTGAGTGTAGCTACTAGATTTTTTATCTCTTGGTATAACTTTCGAAAATTTTGCGGAAGTAAAAAATAAAGTTGAAGCATGAGACCTCCAACTCGACTTGATTCGACATCTGGAAAATCTCGAGGGGCATATACAATATTGCTCTTCCTTCGGATGAAACAGTGGAGTGGTATGCATCCGCACATTCGCAACGTTACATAAGTACTATACATCTATTCATACTGTCTGCCATCTTCTCTAATACACCTCGCCACATATATCATAGTTGGAATTATTTTTGTTCATTTTTTTGGTTTTATGTCAGCTAGTCACGTCATATGGGTTTGACTTTTGGCTTTAGCTTTCGCTGTTTGTGGGTGGTTATATCATCGTTGCATTTACAAACATACGGTTGCGTTGCGTTGCGTGTGATGGGTGAGCATCTCGGTCACATTTCATGTTGATATCCATCTTATCATGGCGGCGGCTCAAGGGGATCTTGAATGTCTGGGAAGGAAGGCCTTTTGCGTTGCATTGTGTGTGGATGGATAGCTATGTGTTATTGGTATCGTACATACATATATACATGTTGTGCTTTTGCTTTTGCTTGGATCAAATAGGTGGAGGCGGCATTGTTTTAAAGGAAGGGGGCATTTTGAGAGCGTTTGGTTTGGTTTGTGTTCGAATTGATTTGGCGTATTATATCATCATTATCATCATCATCATCGTCATCAATGGCGGAAGCAGTGGCAGAAGCAAGCAAGTAGCATTATTATTATTATCATCATATGGTATCACTTATTACTACTCGAGTATTCGTCGAGAGATTTAAGTTGGCCTGTGGTATATTGTTTATGTTATAGTACCGCTACTTTTGTTACATGCTTTGTCTAATATTCGTACAAAACCGCTTGGATGTAATTTGTTAAATTCCTTAACAGTACAGCAGAACTTTCACGGTACGGTGCACCTAGATTATTTACCGTACTCTAATCCTCGTACTCGAGTACGTACTTCCTTCATCTCATCTCATCTCACAGTAGCTTAAAGCGAAGCGCTATTACTGTATATTTTTCAACTAGAAAAAATGTTATGTGTGGTGTGGAAGGTATTTTTCTTCTTTTTCTTCTTCTTTTATGTATAGATATAGATAGGTAGGTACGCTATATCATGCCATTTTAATTTTATGGTATTGGTTCTACGAGTATGTACGTACAGTACCCCTTTCCTTGTTGCACTGTTTTGTTTGCTTCAATTTTTTTTTTCATTGTACTCGTGTACTGTACTAGAGTATATTTACTTGTAATCTTGTTTGTGTTTGCTGTTGTTGTTGTTGTTGTTGTTGTTGTTGTTGTTGTTGTTGTTGTTGTTATTTCGTAGTTAGTTCGTTGAGTGCATTTATTGAATGCTTTAAATGCTTTGAATGCAATAAGGGATCTGTATTCTGCTCCCATCCCATCCCTTTTCAAGTCTTATCTCTATCCAGTTAAGTTATCCTCCCTCCCCACCACTACCTTTTCTCCTCCCTTCTCCTTCTCCTTCTCCTTCCCATCGACCCCTCCATCGTCTCCCATCTCCACGATCTCTTCCCCTCTTCTTCTCCCCTTCCCATCCACCCGATCTCTCCACGCTTCCCCCCACTCCACCGACCCCCCCCCCCACATCACCAAACTACTCCCCACCAAAAACCCGCACTCACCGTCGAAAACCACCCCACACAATACGTATTCACGCTCGGAAAACAAAACATCTGCGCCACCCCCTCTGCACAAACATCATCACGACCGGCAATCCCATCCCCCCAAAATCCTTCTCGATGGCACCACCCGTACATGAGCATACATCCCGGGATCACAATCCCCATGAGGGGGAGCGCAGATCGAAGCCGGTCTTCTGGAATCCGTACCCCGCGCAGTTGCATGTATTTGCTGGTCGTGTGGTCCGAGTAGCGCCCCCCCCCGCCCCCCTCGAGAAATGTTCCGAGTATGTAGCCGAGGCCGGGGGCGAGATAGAAGAGCCCTGATTGGATGGGCGTGGTGAGGTGGAAGCGGGGGTTGAGGATGTAGCGGATCTGCGGGGGTGGAGGAAAGGGGAGGTTAGTATTGGATGTCCTGGATGGTTGTCGGAATGAGAGGTGGGTGATGTATTTTTTGCAAATTTCAGAGTGAAGTGAAGTGTAGATATGAAGTGAATAGAACGAAAAATTAAAAACAACCAGGAGTTAACAGCGAATACATATTCCAGACCAAACTACTACTCGCCAAGGCCACACATATCAAATTCGGATACTTGTACAGCCTCACCACTCTCCACGGATTCAGCATTCCCCACAACACCCCCACCTTCCGCTTCCACATCATACCCACCAACTCATCGCTCTTCAAGCAATGGATAGTTTCAGGAAGCAAAAAATACGCTCCAAGAACCGCGCTCGCGGCCAATGCACTCTGGAGCCAGAAAATCACGCACCAGCTTCGAAACGTTCACGATGACCTCCCCGAGAAAGGGTCCAAGTGCGGATCCTACGAGAGTACCTGAGAGAAACCATCCCATGGAGGTTCCGCGCTCGGTGGGCCGGTAGATGTCGCCGATGGTGAGGAATGAGGTTCCTTGGATGTCGGTCAGGATGCGGAAGAGGAAGAAGGAAGGGAGGTTGGGCGCTAGTGCTGTGCCGATGGAACTTGCGGTGAAGAGGCTGGATGTTATGAGGGAGATTTGGATGCCGTTTAGTTTTCTGCTTTTGTGAAAATATATTTGGGGGGTGTGGGAGATATATATATATATATATGTGTGTATGTGTGTATGTCACGTATGTTTCTGCAACTGTAGACTTGAGTCAAGGGTCCCTATATTAGAGGTGATACTCCCATGAATAATAGGTACTCCGCCGACCCAATAACACCAGTAGGTAGTACAGTATCTCAAGCACCAACTTGTATCGTACGTATCTGCACTAATAAGTACTTGTATGAATACAGATTAGTTTTGAAGGCGAAAAGATCGTTTAAGTCTGGAAGGTCTAGAGGGAGGTAGAAAAACTTGTTGGGAAATCCTATTCTTTTGATTTGTCATAGAGGACTTGACTGTTGGCTTGTAAGAGTAAGACTGTAGCCCTTGTTCTGCGCCTTGGCAATTAAGGTTTGGGTCTAGCCAAAGCCGAAGTTGTTGTATCGGGTAAAGGGAAAAGGAGAAGTTAAAAAGCAAAGGCCTAATATAAGATTTCGATTGAAGTTTTTCTTACCTTAAATTATAACCCTCCACTCTGTGCATAAAGTATAATCGGCATATACATATACTACAGTACATATATCAACGACCTGCATATAGATGTTGACATAAAAACCCGAAAGAAGAAGCCCAGAAGTAAGGTGATGGAATATGCATCAAAGTCTAGTTTGTTTGTTTGGCTAGAATCCTTGCCATAAATTACTGAGTGAGTTGCTGTGACATTGTCCCAGAGCCCAGATCATTATTATTTGCGGACACGTCCGCTCTAGTTTCTTTATTTCGTGTTATAACTTATATACATTCTATTTACTTCTAGATCGCAGCTCCATCTATAGTATATACCCAGGACTCTTTCTAATTTACCGAAACATATGACACATCGCCAATACAACAGCTCCAGTATCATCGCATCACCACTAAACTCCCTCCTCCATTCCCTCCTCCCACTCTTCATTCTCCACTCCCAGCCCATTGCCCACTTCCAGCCTATCGTCCTCAATAACCTCCGACTTCTCCCACCCAGTCGCAGCCTGTACACCCACCATGAGAAACGCCACAACCGCAGCCCCAACCCACAATGCTTTAAAGCTTTCAATATAAGCATTCACCGCAATCTGTTTCTCCAAGCCACTTAATTCCCCCACCAGAGCCGGACTACCTAGAAGTCTCCTGACCAATTCTTCTCTTCCTTGCATTCCTCCATTTTCAGCAAACCCTTTCTCGAGTCCAGATTTTAATACACGGACAAACGCACCGCCGCCGATTGCGGATCCGAAAGACCCGGCGAACCCGCGGAAGGTTGTGAGCAAAGAGGTTGAAATAAAATGAGTGGAGGGGGGTGTGAGATGGAGGAGGTGGGCGAGGGTGTAATTTAGCGCGGCGCCGATGCAGAGACCGTTGAGGAGTGCGATGAGGATGTAAAGGAGAACAGGAGTGTTGGGGAGAGAAAATTGGGAGAAGAAGATTATGGTGGTTGAGAAAAGGATGATGGAAAGAATAGATGGTCTGTGTCAGTGATCAGTAAGATATCTAAACTGCCAATGGTGAAATGAAAATATGATGGAGAACATACAGCCAGAAACTCCCCGCTCTTTTGATATGGAACGCTCCCGCGGCGATGCCGCCAAGAGCAAATCCAAAGTTTGTGGGCACGAGGATAGAACCTGCAGATGCAGGTGACCAGCCGCGCACCGAAATTGCGTAGACGGGAGTATAGAAGAGGATACTCCATCTAGCAGCCATGATCCCCAGCTGAGAAATACACGAGAGAAGAGCTCCCCGGGATTTCAGAACAGTAATGGGTATAATTGGATCGGCGGCAATTTTAAGCTCAATGTAAAGGAAGAGTATTAAGGTGAGAATCGAGCATGTAATTGTTAGCCATTCGACTTTTGGTGATGAGAGTCCGTAGAGAAAGAGGATAATCGTGGTGACCTAGTAGATTCAGCCTGCGTCCGATCCAACAAAGCTGTATTGCTTATGATTATATTATAAGAGGACTTACGAGAAAAAGGGATCCCAGATAATCAATTTTAACAAGATTAGAAGCAATAGACCCCTCATTAGCACTCTTCTGCCCAGAAGTAAAACTCTTGGGGATACTAAAATAAATTCCAATCCCGGAAATGATGGCAAGCGGTGACTGAAACAGAAACAGAGACCTCCAACCCACCACGGGCAATAGAGCACCCCAAACTACTGCACCAAGAGATACGCCCAGAGTGAATCCAGAATTTGCTAGTCCGATGAATATGCCTCTTCTCTTCTTTGTGGTGAGCTCTAATACCAAGATGAAACTAATCGTCATGATACCAGCACCACCAACCCCACTTATCGCTCTTCCTATTAGGAAGGTCTTGAGATCTGAGGCTTGTGATGTGACGACTCCCCCAGCAGCAAAGAGTAATGCTGCCATTAAGATACAATTTCTGGGGGAGAAAATCTGGGCTAAACGGGCTGCCACTGGTGACATAGAAGACAAGCCTATCTGAAGACCGGATTGTAAGCGCGTGACCATATGATGATGAGGAAGGATAACTAACGAGGTAGGTAGATGTAAACCAACTTGCTTCAGCAAAAGAATCGAGATCCTCTGCTATTTTGGACTGTGTGGTCGATATACCGGACATATTTGATGCTATTATCATGAATCTTATTAGCACGCCAAATACTATCAGGTCTTCCATTTCTAAAACCCACCTTGAAGGAATATCAAACCGAACACACTGATACTAATCAGTATAGCTCTTAATTTCCCGACCTGTTGGTTCGCCTTATCCTCATTATCGCCATCTTTGCTGCTATCATCCTCTCCCCCACTTTGCCCACCCATCAATGTATCGATATCCTCCTCATCTCCATCAATACCACCCCTTATTTCTCTATCCCCGAGCAACGAAGTTTGTTCATCAACTGTTCCATTCCCGTTTCGTCTTCCGGTAATCCCATTTTCTCCTCCCATTTCGTGTTGTGCGGCGTACCTTGTCTCTTGTTTTATAACCTTCGGGCCAGAATCTCGACAAGGTTGGTAGGTTGGTTTCGTGATGAGTCAGCTAGCCACCTCCATCTATTCAATAAAACACATTTACATGTTTGAACAAGAATCAATCATTTTACACCGAATCCGCCTCTTCGCTGGCAGTCAGGGACAGATTACGAATACATGTCAATCAACAAGCTACCAGTCGGGGTAATCATGTTCGGGGAAGATCATGTGTGATCACATGATACCATTGAGTACCGGCATAGTATGTGTGATAAAGAGGTATGAAAGATACTTTAATATTTACAACGGTATTACAAGTGTGGCCGCATATAGTAAGGTATTTATCTACTCGATAATGAAAATGTATTCCTATAAAGAGAGTCGATATTTTGTATTCTGGTGTAGTTCATTATTGAGTCTATATTCATTGTCGAGGGATGCGGGAGGGGGCTTTTTTTTACATTCCAATTGAAGAAAGGCTTCAATTTTCATTATTGAATCTTTATTCTGTATACTATCCAATAGGGTCATAGGAATACATTTTCATTATTGAGCCTTCTTTCCCTTGCTCTTGATGGCTTATTTGAATGAGTTCCTCTTCACTACCTGAAATAAAATACTCTTTCTCCTGGAGTTAGTACCGCATTCGCCCTGTCCTATTACCGGCCCATTAAACCTTCAAATCATACCATTTTCAATCTATACAAGCAAAATGACAGTATATCAACCTGTTACTGGGGAAGAGTACGGAGACATTCAAAGCGAACTCGATGATCGTCCAAAAAGTCCCGATTTTTTGCTTTGCACGACATGCGGATTTAACGCTTCTTATTGGATCCATAATAGTTACGTCAGCCATATCAAAGTCGGATGCAATTACAATAGGAGCATATAGTCAGTTGGCGAAAAATACATTCTGAAAGAAACTCCTCTCAATACGATCAGATGGCATCCTGAACACCAATGCCCCGATGCCTCAATCACCCTGTTCCTGAGCGAGAACTCTACAATCCCTGTAGCAAAGGAAATGCATTATTGGAGGGACAGTGACAGCCATTTCTTTTTCATGGCCAGAGTCGAAGGTGAAACCCTTCACAAAGTTTGGAAAAAACTCTGTCCGGATCAGTTTAAAAGCGTCGCTGCTGAAGTCGCGGATTATCTTGTAGAATTACGTCAATTTACGTCTGACAAGCCCCAAACTCCAGATGGTTTGGATTTAGGAAAAGGATATTCTGTGAAGCCTGGAGAAACCTTTGTACTTACGCATGGGGATTTAACCTCAGGTAATATCATTATAAATGATGGACATGTTGCCGCAATCATCGATTGGGAACATGGGGGCTATCTTCCGGAATCGTATGAATGGAAGCAATTGACATCAGATACAGACAATTATCATTGGCAACGACATCTGCTCCATGAGATGGAAAAGAGAAATATCGGTCCTTTCGAAAGAAAAGATTGTGAAAATTTCGGATGGTTTCACAGCAGCGAGGGTGACTACAGATCCCATAATAGTGAACCATTTTTCGACCAAAGTATTATGTTGAAATGCACAAATTTTCGCAACTATATCTTCGATGGTGAATCTCACTTATCTGAGATTTCGGAACGGAACAGAAAAAGACGACTATTAGCTGAGAGAAATGAAAACTCCATCGCAGCCGAGAAAAGGACAGAGGAAATCGAGTTTAAGTTAAAGGTAGCCGAGCGTAAGATTGAGCTATATACAGAATTTTCAGAAAAGTGCAGACCAGTCATGGAGGCGTTCTGGACGCTCAGCTTGAGCGAAAGAGAAGAGTTCAAGAACAAAGCTAAGCCAAAGCCAGAGCAGCCAGAGTGGCAGTCGTAATTACCCATCTATCATCTAACATTTATTATCTATCAAAACGGAAATTATCCATGTAGCCATCACAGGCTACCTTACATACTGTAACAACACCAGTTTCCAAGCGACTGACTACCTTACATAACAACATCAGTTCCCAAGCGACTTCTTCTCTTCATCCTTTTTCTTCTTTCTCTCCTCCTCAATACATCGATCATATTTTGTCCACGTCTGTTCTTCCTTCAACAACAATTGAGCAGTATAGGGAGGTTTATATCTCGGCCCTTCCCCATTCTCATTTCTCTTCGCAACAGAAATCCTCACACGACCCTCAACATCTTTTTCTGTTTTGGGGTCCTCGAGAACCCTTAGTTGTCGCTTCTCGTCCCACTCCTTCTTGAGCTTCTCGGCATCCTCGGGATTCTTGGGCTTCTCGGCATTCTTGGACTTCTCGGGGTCCTCGGCAATTACCACGTAGACCTTAACATCAAACACCTCAACCTGTATGACCAAATGATTGCCATATCTACCTGCTTTCGGCTCCTTGCCAGCGTTCGGCTCCTCGCAAAACCACAATTTTGCCTCCTGAACATTTGCATCCACGATTTCGCTCTTCTTTGGGTCATTCCTGATATCTACACGTTGGACAATCGCCCCTCTTGGTAAGAACCCATCACAGTCTTGGCATATGCCGCTGTCTGTTGGGTTGCCGCCATTGCAGATGAAACAGTGCATTTTTTGGTGTGAGCTTATCAGAGGTTAGCAGTGATGACAAGAAGGAGCGTAGAGGGGAAGTGGAAGGAAGGGAGGAAAAAGTACGTACAACGCAAGGAGTTTTGCACTTGGTGTAGAGTTGCTGATGAAGCGTGGGAATGATTGATGTTGTATCGGATTCGATTGATGGATGTACTGTTATTTTCGTTCAATTGCGTATTCTGGTTGCCTTTGCGAAAAAAAAATGTATTGACCGGTCTTTTTGCTTGTGGTTGCTGGCCTGGTGTTCATCTATTTAGGAGTTATCTTTGGCAATATATATATGTTGTGAAGGAATACACTCCAAGCACGAGCCCTATAATGTGAAGCTTTCACAAACACTTCATTTTGTAAATGAATAAAGAAACTGACTTGCGGATGATTCTAGCAATACTCAACATTGAATGATGCCGTTGAAGGAACGAAGGAATTTGGAACGATGACTACCCCGAAACCGATTTCATACAGATCAAAGGCCAAATTGTGTTTTTGGAGATGCTTAAGATGCGACTGGCCAGTGTACATTGGCTGATTCTGGAATTGACAAAATGTTTCATTTGTTCCTTACTATCATTGGAACGATGGTTGGCACTTTGATCTCAATGGTGCACTCCCTAATTGACAATTTCCTTGTTGTCAACAACAAATCACGCAGGATAACAGCATGACGGGAATGCAATGGAGAGATTCAAAAGATGCATATGCATTCTGGTGCTTAATTAGTGTAGATCATGCATGTGACTTTTGATCTGTTTAGAAACACTTGTATTGATTCATGCCATGCTGTTTCTTCTCATGCGAGTTTCCCAAGCTCACTGGCGATTCCACCTAGTAACTTGAACACGAAATGAACCAACCCACCAGGGCCACCACATGGTCTCAAACCGATCTCAAAAACTTCCATAATGATTCACCCACAACCCTTCCATTCTACACCTTCCACGACTGACACATCCCGGAGTTTCCTGGATAAGCCGCCCATTATCTACCCCCCCCCCCCCTCCACCCACAAACCGATCCAGTGCAGCAAAGGACCTGAAATCGACTAAGGACCCAAAATCTCAATCTCCAAGGCACCAGTGACCAGAATACTCTCCTGCTGTTACCCTTGGATTCAACTATCGGAACATTCCTCGCACATCTTGACGTTCTCAAAAATCGCACCCGAAACGAAGAATATTTAGCAGTCACGTTTTAATATCAACTTCCACAATCAACAATGTTTATCATATCCATTTCCAGTTTTCCTCTCGGGCGCTGTAACAATTAGAACTTTCTACATAGTTCTTTACTCGAGTATCTCCCCCAAGGTAATTCATGAAGTTATAGAAAACTTGACACCCACCCAGCAAACCCATCTTCCGATGCCGCAAACTCGCAACTCGCAAGTAACGTAAGTAATCCATCTCAACGGAAGTACAACAGGATTCTCGAGATTGAAGCTCTCTCCGTTCTCCATATACGGATCCAGATACTCGGGTACTGTAGTTGTAGTTTAAGCGCGCAATCGCGCAAGCATATGACCACGTCTCACCGTTAGTGTGTTAAGTTAACCGCCAAGTCTGAAACCTAAACCACTCATTGTCTTCGGAAAAATGATGACTCGGACGGAGCCCACATTGTTGTAGTTTCCCCAGTATAACGAATGTACTGCCACGATAAATACCATGATTATAAGAATCTCCCACCAAGTTACCATTAATCGCCATCCTCCTCAAGATCCTGATCAACACCACTACTACCCCTCCATTCCTCCTCCCAGTGAACCTCGAAATCTAACAAGTCATAAACCACAAATCACAAGACGAGTTATAAGTCAAATCACATTTCGCAAAGGTACACAGTTTTCTTTTGGTGTGGGAAAGAAACCACGGTCCATTTTTTCTATTTGTTTTGGTTGGAAGCACTTTATACTTCCTCTTACCCCGTGCATTTTATGCCTCTGCCGGATGTCTTACACGATCTAATCGCACACAAACAAAAGAAAGATACAATCCCACCCTCAAGGTCCAGAGTTGAAGATGTCTGAACACTAGTTGGCGATGTGAAAAGTTAAAACGAAAACCCATCTCTGCGTACCAGTCAAGTAACTACTAACCACCATCCTGCCCTTATTTAACCAGCACCAACTATCGTAGAAGAACAACCATCCATCGCACGTAACAAATAAACCACATATTTGAAAACCAGTAAAGTAACCATCATCATCATCCTTCGTAACCCATCCAACCTTTCATTGTAAGTAACACAAGAAGTAAAAACCCTAGAAATATGGCCACTCCACGAAGAAAATTACCTAACCAGTTTTGTTGATCCCCAAAAAGTCGAGTCCGCATATTTCTCATGAAGCAAGCAATGGGGGAGCAAGCGAGCAAGACAACTTGAAGTGTGAAGAAAACAGATTGAGTAGAAAGCGTGCGTACACAATATGTTGCAGCGTGCACCAAGAAATAAGGGTGTACTAAGTTTGCGAGTCGGGAACGAGCCATGTAGAAACGATGAGAAGTAGCAGATTCCAGGACAAACCAATTGGCTTACTTGCGGAAGAAAGCAGGCCCGATGTTAGATTTGTACTTGGATAGTAGAGGCATTGCGTTGAGTTTCCCTGGAAAGCTGTCGTCCATAAGCTCGCAAGCGATATCGATCTCGACAGTGTCCTTTACAAGTAGATGATGAACAAACACCGTGCTGCCTACTTTCTGACCTTCACGAAGTGCGCGACCCATGGCCTGAGTCATGGCGGCGTTGTATTTTGTCTTCTCGGCGTAGTACGGAGATAGGAATATAACGTGCTGTGCAACGGTAAGATTGGAACCGGCGGCGGACTCATCGGCAATGTTGAGGAGTAAGACGCGAGCAGTAGGATCGGGATTATCCCAGTATTCAGGGTCGTGCGCCTCTTGGCCAACGCGAGCCCAATCCACAGATTCATCATCGGGGGAAGAGGTATCTGCGAAGGCTTCAGGAATAGGCACTTCGGCATCCTCGAGTTCAGAAGGATCAAGCGCAGGATAGGAAGCCATAGGGGCCTCAATAAAGGCAGGAGTTGTTAGATCTGGAGCATCGGAGACTGCATCGGATTCTGAATCAGATACTACCTCAGATCCTGATTCGGAGACTGCACCGGGAAATCCATCAAAAACTAGATCATAGAGCAACTGATCATCTTCATCAATCACATCTGCGAACCCTAATCCACTTGTCATCATGTAATCTTCAGGATTTGAGGATGGCGACAGAATTGGAACATCAGGCAACTCTCGAAGAGATGAAAGTGGCGAAGATGCAGACTTTTTTCCCCTGCGAAGTCTCTTGGGAATCTGTGACAAATACATATCATTGAGCCCCGCCGCATCAATCTGTTTCCGAGCTTGCTTATTGTCCTTTTTGTCCTTCTTATTCTTCTTGTTCTTCTTGTCCGCCTTGTCCGCTTTGTTCTTTGCAGCCCGCTCAGCTGACCATGCGGCACGGAACGCCGGAAGATCGACATGTTCACCATCCTTTATGTTGTCATCAGGGGTTGAAGTGACCGAGGAAGCTGAAGCAGCTGGATCAGGAGATGCTCTCTTTCTGTTGAGGTGAGCTGTAGCTTCTGGCACATTGGTGGAAGCTGAACCACTAGCCGAAGCCTTGCCCTTGTTGAGCTTTCCCGCCGCGCGAGCTCTTTCGGTCTCCCTATCACTAACACCATACAAATCATCAGAGTCATCATCCACTTGTTCTGCTGGGGTAACTCGAGCAGCTTTAGAGACGGGAGCAGCTGCAGTGACGTCTTCAGAATCGGCTCTCTTTCTCTTTTGAGAACCCTGAGAGACTGGAACAACTTGGACGACCGGTGCAGCTTGAACTGGTGCTGCAGGCGCTGCAGGCACTGTTGCAATTATACGAGGTGCTCTTGTTCTGGTCGGCTTTTCCTTGTATTTCATGCCCATGTTATTCTTGAAATTCTCAAGAATTTGAGCGATCTCACTCTTCTTACCAGTAAGGTTGCAGCAGGGGATACCATCGGCGGTGATGATTTGTTCGGCCAACATCAAGAACTCCGGCAAGGGACTGAAGATAAGGAATTTGCAAAAGCCGTCATCATTGTCCCAGACGATTGTGCGAACAGCGGTAATTTTGTCGACTTTAACGGATGGTTTGCTCCAGAAATCGTAATCTGAACTTCTCGGCAGGCAAGAGGGGTCTATAGAACATGATCGCAAAGCAGCTTTGTACTTGGAAATCTCTGAGTCGACATGTGGGTCAACATGGCCAGCTGAAGAATACATGGACAATGCCAAGTACTTTTGGTCGTCCAAGGATGTTCCACCACAGGGTTTGACTGGACAAACACCTTCATCTAGAAGAAAATTGCATTCTGAGCATAAGATATGACCACAATTGCCTTGAACAACTGCCTCGCTCAAAGGTGCAGTGCGAGGGCAGTTGTGACATGCTAGCGACCCGGTAGGTGATAAGCTGCCAGCTCGGTCGATCTCTAACACAGCCTTGTAGTAACGGTACTCTTGTCTGCTGTGTATAAGGTCCACTCCGGTCTTGTGTAGTTCGGTGAGCGCTCTTCTGCAATCGGCGAGAAGACCAAGCATTTTTCGACCATTATGCATGATCTTTAAGGTAGGAGAAGGCCATAGGCGACGACCACGAGGAGCATAAGGAACCATGAAATAAAGTTCATTATGAGTCTTGGGAGGTGCACTTTCCACGGCATTGATAACCTGGATGATATCACGAAGAGCGTCGGGGTCGGCGTAACGTTGCCCGGCGAGAATTTGGTTTCTCCAGTTAGAATATCGAATCCCCATGTCCAGATCGGCTCTGACCTCAGGCAATGTCAAAAGGTAGATGATAAGCTCCATCTGCTTGCGAACGTAGTCCTTTGCAACCTTGATTTCACCAAGAGCAGATGCTTTTAAGCCTCTGCACGTCTTGAGTGTGTAATTAGTATTCTTTTTGGCATGTTCAGGAAAGAATGAGGCGGCCTTCGTTAGTCGTAGGCGACCATCTTGCTCTTTGCCATAAACTTTCATCATCTCCTCTTGGACTGAACTTCTGGTATCCACAGTCTTTGGCATCATATAGGACTTGTTGATTACGTCCGACTTGATCGTAAGGTAGCATGCCAACTGTGCTGTAGCCAACGGCATAGGAACAAAACGATGAACGCGGTTGAATTGACCACTTCCTTTTCGTGTGTCCTGGCGAACGAACATGTTGCAGAATTCTTGTGCAATTTGAATTCTTGCAGCATGCCAGGATGGCGAAGCGTCAGGTCCATAAGACAAGAAACGCTCAGCACTGGTTAAATTCTTGTCCTTGCGAATAGTTTCCTGGTCGTCAACACCAAGGTTGATTCCAAGGCACCGAGCAACTCTTGATGCCGACAAATGATCAGTAATGTTGGGTGTTGCTGACAGTGCCCAACGAGCTTGAGCATTCAACTCGCGAATACTCACCGCAATATGGTTGCCAGTGTTGTAGCTCACTTCGTCTGTGACAATACGAGGCCAGGAAAAATCTCCCAAAGTTACTCCAAGGAGACCCCGAATGCAGTTTGTTTCAAATTCTGGGCCAACAAAAGACTTTTCAGCATCATCTTCACCAGCCGAGATATTGGCTTTACCCTTGCCCTTAACACCTTTGTTGGCATTCGCATCATCTTCTTCATGATATGCACCTCTAAGTCTCCTTGAGGGAATGTGTGGCCGGTTGGCTCCAGACGCCGCGAAGTCCTTCATGTACTTTTCTTTCATGAAGCTGGTGAATTTTTTTACACCTTGATTGCCATCTACCTCGTTGGTCTCATCCGCTTCCATTGGAAGTTCTTTCTGGAGACGCAACAAATTTGCTTTCCTCTCTTCCTTAGCATTGAGATACCACGCTTCCTTCGCTCTGTCAGTTGAATTCTTGGCCAAATCAACAACTGCAGCGTTCTTTGCCACAAGTTTTAGGTACGACTCATTATCGAATTGGCTGGAGCTACAGATTACCAGCTCTGCTCTTAAAACATCGTCGACGGTCAAGGCCTTGACGTGTTGATAAGTGGAGAGAACGATGAGTCGGGGATCACCCTCACGCTTGTAATCAAGGAATATACATGCCTCATTTCTCCATTGTAGAGTCAAATGTGCCGGCACCAAAACCAGTGTTGCTTTGACATGAATTAAACCATCGGTGTTGGGATTTTCGGACCACAGGCGGTCGACAGGGTACTGCCTACTCATTAGAGCAAATGTCATGACCGTCTTGCCGTATCCAACAGAAGCAGCAAGCAATCCGGCCCGATGTTTGACCAATCGACAAGCTCGGCCTTCAAGTCTGAATGCCAAATCATCTTGGCGAGTTTCAACGATTTCTCTCTCCACAAAAGACGGTGGAAATCTCTCTTGCTGTACCATCCATGTTAAGGTTTTGAGCTGCTCATTTCGAAGCTTCATGCCTGGGACAAATCTGCTTGGCTGATCTGACATGCCTAAATTTTGCGTGTCACGATAGACAAACTGTGAAACTGGTAATCTGGTAATCCTAGAAGCTCCAGGAATGAAACGCCAAGACAAGTTTACAGGATGATTTGGCCGTGGAAACTCATCAAGAAGTGCAGCTGCTTTATGGCTCAGAGCCGTCGGGTTCACAAGGAAATAGAATTCGAATTGAAAATAACGGTCCATTGGAGTGAACCGGACCCATTGCTCCATTGCCGCTGGAGAACTTGTGGTGAGGTGCTCAAACGTCGCAGCTGCCTCTGGATTCTCAAAGGGCGTTTGCTGATACTTTACGCCATTTTTCTTCAGGTGCCATAACATATCCGGCTTGAGAGGCGCGCAAACGCGACAACGACATGTATCATTCTCTTGGGCACTGCCAGGAATCCACGGCGGACTGGCCTCGGTGGCACTAGGATGAACTAAGCCGCGAGCTAGTAAGTGATAACAGTCTCGGAAGAAATCTATACCGTTCCGCTTAGTGACTTTGGTCCAGCAATTGGTCTGCCAACGTGGCGGTATGACATCCGTCAATGCTTTGCAAGAAAATGCTGTGAGCAGAACTTTGCAATCAGCCTCTTCCATAAGCTGTGGACTTGAAAGGTCGAGCCTTTGATAAGTAGCCGTCGCAGAATGATCAAACGAATTAGTTGCCATAGGACCGACGATTTTGCTCGATGTGGTCCAACTTCCATAGGAGGTGATCGAAACGAGCTCCGTCATTTCCTTTTGTAAGTCAGCAAGATCCTCAAAGATGGTACCTTCAAAGTGATAACTATCTCCGAGCTTTTGTAACACCGGCTGTTCCCACGAGCAGTCAATCGTAGCTATGATTTGTCTGAATACGCCGCATTCCATGCGCATTTGATCGTCAGTAAAAACGAAGGTATGCTTCTTCCAGTTGCCAGTGACTCCTTCATGATCGAAGAACATGTACATAGGGAAGTCGGTCCCAGAAGTGCCTTTCTTCGTGTGCATCGAGTTAAATGCCTGACCGCATTCTGCATGCGATTCATAAACACCGACGATCTTCTCGAAGGTGAAAATCTCGTCCTTTGGGATCTGGATCGATATCTGTGACCATACAAGATCTTCCTTATGTTTGGGAATGCCGACGGAATTATGGTAAACAGGGATGAGTTCGCCTCCATACCTAAACTTTGCCTCGACGACCCGAAACTTTGGTTGCCAAAATTGCCATGTAAAATCAAACATATTTTGAGAGCTATGGGTAGAGGCGTAAAGAGGGACTGTTTTTGCGAGAGGAAATTTCGCAAGGTATTTCCTCAGACGACTGTTAACAGCCACAGTATGGTCTGGCAGAGCATACAATGTAGCTTGAACTTTTTTGTCGTCGAGAACTAACTCCAACCTAGCCTCGTCTGCAAGCCATGTAAAATGCCAACCAAAGGATCGAACTGGTTTTTGAAACTTGACCGTTGATTGAAGACACTTGAGGTAAGACATGCGTAGCCCAGCCCATTGCGCTTCATCGACTTTGTCGGTGACCAAGTGTTGAAGGAACGATGCCATTTTTCCATCAGAAGTGAACAGCTTCGAAATCAATATTGTCATTGGCAGACGATTTGCAATATCAAATTCAATGGTGGAAGGATCAACACGGGGTTTGGTACCTTTGACACCTCGAGGACCAACATACTCGCTCAAGGGTTCGTAAGCATGTCTCGGCTTGGCACCACAAGAAGAACACGAAACATGGCTGCAATACTTGCACTTGACAATTGTTGAACGTGAGATATCAGTTTGTGCTTCGCAGTAGCAGAATTTCGCAGAAGTTTCGACGATATGAAGACATTGCCCAACAGTCAAAGGCCGTTGAACAACCGCAATGTTCTCCTGAGAATCGATCAAGAATTCTTCACCCCGAAAAGTCTTCGGCATTTCATCTTGCATCACGGTATCAACATCTTCGCCGGGGGTCAAGACCGAAACGAATGTAAGGAGCGCAAATGCCATTACAGCTCCAACAACCGTAGTCGTCATCGCATTACCAGCAAAGTTTCTAAGCTCCGGTTGAGTGAGACCACCAAGTTCAAGACCCGCAGTATCGATTCCTTGTAAACGAAGAGCTTCTTCGCCAGTGATCTTGCTGCCACGAGCAGTGTTGAACATTGAACCGGAAGGTGTCAGGCAGGGCATGATACCACACTTGACATTGTCATGCTGTACGTACACGTTTTGCGAGAGATCAATGTTGCGACTGAAACAGCATTAGCATGTTATCACATGAATCAAAATAGGATTGTGTTTACCTAATGTAACGGTCGTCGTAACCTCTAGAGACTCCACGCAAATGGCTCACGTCAGTGGCATCATGAACACGCTCCACAAATCCTTTCATATCGCGGATCCAATGATCGGGATGCCTGAAGATACCTGTACTTCTCCAATCGGTCATTGGTTTACCAGTACCCAGGCCTTGTCCATGACGATAATCCTCATGCCGCGCATGGCAAGTGTCCCAACTCACAACCGCACGGGGTTCGCCTTGAAGCTCGTGTTGTGCTCTGAGTGTTTTCGAATCCGACTTCTCCATCCACTGTTCAATTGAAGTGCTAGCATGACGTGAGAACTTTAGTTTCATATAATCAAAGTCTGCTTTCCATGCGTTTGCATCACTGTACTTTGATGCAAGGCCAACTTCCTCCAAAGAAGATTGAGGAACAGCAACGGCGTAACCCCGCTGCCGGGTTTGCGGGATGCCAAAATACTTGCTGTCAAAAATTGCCCAGCCAGCAAGGTATCCGTGAGTGTTCAGCATATGGACCATAGCTGGAAAGGGACCACTTCCAACATTCTCGTTGATTCCGATCTTTGGCTTGAGGTATTCGATAAGTTTGACATAGGCGCGGAACGTACGTGAAGACTCGTTTTGATCGCGCTCCAAATCCATACTGCGATTGCTATTGAGAGTGGAGTAACTGGTGCAGGAAGTCCCGGCAATGATCAAGTCAATCGTATGAGGGGGTGGAAGGGGAATTAATGCACCGAAAGCCGTGGTCCTATATACGGGGTTAGCTAATAATCGAAGACTCAAAAGATTCAACTTACATGAACCCTTTCAGCTCGGGATAATCCTTCCATCGAAGAGCTTCAGTTATGTCTCGAAAAATCACTGCGCCTGGGAAATTACGCCGAATATAAGTTTGCTTATATGGCTCAATTTCGCACGAAAAAACATGCTCAATTTCAAATGGCAGTCCTGCATTTTTGAGGCCTGGATTTGATATATCAGTATACAGTACATACAAGCAATCCCTTTGAAAAATACCTTCGGAAAGTGTGTTCAGGAACAAAATAGGTGCTTCCGTTCCTGAACATGCGGTGGCCACACGCAATGGTCTGCTCTTGAGTCGTTTCGAAACTTCTGCAAACCCTTCGTCCAACAACTTCTGAATCAATTCCGCAATAAAGTCCGCGCTGGTGTATAGTGGACAAAGACTTTGATCAGTTCCGGTTTCATACTTCAGAGTCGTGTATAGCTTGGGCCCGGTCTTTTTCTTTTTCTTCGGACGTCTTTTTTTCTTGCCACGAGGCTTTTGCCCAGGACGTGGCTCGTCTTCCTCTTCTGAAGAAGACTCATCGTCACTTTCGGAAGAAGCAATGTCTGATTTCTCGATACCACCATCTCCTGCCTCTGGTGGGTTATCCAGCGTCTCTGGATCACCTTCGAGTGGGATCTCTGGAGGCAACTCGACTTTGCGTTTTCTGGCCATGGCGATGTGCGGTTCTAGTAAGAAGTTGGTTATCTATCGAAGATAGAATCTTGCAAGATAAGTATAGATAGTGTACCACAACCAATAAGATAAGAATCGATTGGGAATGGTCAAATTGTTCAACAGCAATTTTATTCCTAGGTTGAGTGAGTAGCATAGATGTCTGTGTTCGAGATCAGATGGATGGATGAGTGTTTGTCTAACCAAGCAGCTAAAGGCTGTCGGCTGACGGTGATGGTGATGGTGACGGTGAGGATTGATATGGAAAGCGCAACAACATCTCAAGTTTGATGATGCAATATTTTGAGGTATTCGAATAACCATCAAAAATTGTAAAAACGATGATACAATAATGTTCTTGATGATGTGAGAGGGTGATGATGATATGAAAGATAGCCAAAGGCTGTTGATTCCATGATGGAGTTGGAGGGTGGGAGTGGAGGTAAACGCGACATTGGGAAGTTTGTAAAGACCGAAACGACTTACCAGATATTATCTCTCAGTTGTAATAGTAGTAGGAACCAATCTTGCTGATATAATTTAGATCACAGCCTGTTCGACTTGTGTATACTGTAATTATCGCGTTACTATTAAAGAAACTCGGTCAGCGACTGCTTCGAATTCAAAAAATGGACGACTGGAGGAAAACGCAACATTGGAGAAAGGCGTAAAAATCTGCCAGCAAAAGGATGTTTACCTTCAAAATACCTCGTGGCTTTGCAATAGTTCAAAAAGGGAACAGCGAAGCTAGTACGAAGTTTGTTGAAATTTGAAGGATGCTTTGGGTTACAGTCTTGAAGATACGAATGTGTGGTTGTGGGTTTAGATCGCTAGTGGGAGAAATTTGCAGCAAGGCCCTAGCAACCGGAATGACCCAGCCACTTCCCCGATTCTACCCACCCAACAGCGACGAGCATTGACCACTGCCGGCTAGCGAGCCTTATTCTCATTAGTAAAGGCTTCGAGGACCTATAAAACACTTTGAAGTTGATTTTCCGCACTTGCACTTGCTTCTGTTGCCCAGCTTCTTCCGCAGTCACTGGTACTTAGACAATAATCTGAGGTGAATCGGACTATGAATTAGCAGAGCGTTGATTGTCAATACGCTGATACCACAACGTGAGTGTACCTGGTCTTTAAGCAACTCCCTCAAACTAATTATTCAGATGAGACAAGCAGATTGAATCCACACCAACGTCTGATACGAGAAACAATAAGAAGGACAGATAATGGGGGGATAAACCTACATGTTTTGCGTCTGCATGCGCACCATTTTTTTCTCCATAAGATCCTCAGCTGTTAGCCTTCTGCCTTTACTACAGCATTGGCATCGAAGACAATGTGATCCCTCGGCCTGACTTGGTTCAGTTTATGTCTTAATTATTCAAGACCACAAAAGCGATCCAGATTCAAGCCTGGTCTGCGAGAAGGTCTTCCGACTTCGAAATTACAACTGCAACCTTCGAATTGTTTATGTTATGAGAGTATATCTTACCGACTTCGAAATTACAACAAGGATTACGGTATCCCATGGCCTTGTAGGTATGCTCAATTATTGGGGGCCTTTAGATCCTCTCACCTGCTGGGGCGTGCCTGCTGAATATCTGATGAACTGGCAGACAGTCCCTATCACTTTATAGCAGGGTGAGTGTTCTTTCGCTCTTTGAACAATTGACAGCATTGTCTGCGATCCCGAACTCCTTTGTAGCTCTCCCATCAACACTGCTAGACAAGCCATGGATGTCCAATATCAGTTGCCTCAGGTGTTCTCTCAAAGCAGTTTGTTTGGTATACTACATGGCATAACACCTTTGGCATGATATAATTGGCTACCACTGTCTTTGGCTACCAATCACTTGATGATTTGCAAACAAACACCAAAGTCTAGACTAGCTTTGAACATGCAGGTCTAATACCCCTTCGCTTCGGGGACGATATTTCTGGTGATTGGCCCGAGCTTTGCAATAGCCGAAGGGGTAATATTGTACATCCAGATACCTTTCAAATTGTGGATTGATTGAGCTGTCTTGTCTAAGCAATCAAGACAAGCCAATAGCTTGATGTCTGAGAGAAAAGAATAAGAAAATCAAAAAAACTATAGAAATATACAAAAGCTACTAAGCTCCTTTTTCCTTGGTGTGCCATTCGTACTTGGTAATCGAAGAGTTCTGGTCTTCATTACTCATTCTCAGAATCGCGCCTCTTTGTTTCACTCGGTCGAATATGCTACAGCATGAAGTAGACCAAATCGCAGCAAATCTTGAAATTCCCCTGTTCTTGAATTTCGAAAATATTCCAATCATTCTTATCTGTTGAAATTTGTCAAGAGCAATATCGCCGAGTGGCACCTCTCGAGGAATATACTATTGTGATATGCACCATGATGCTAGCTTGAACTTGTTCTACTATAATACTCTCCACTTGGTCGGGAACACAAGCCGTGATATACAAGGGAAATTCTAGTAAGGTTGCTTGGCCTATATCTCCTTCAGTGGTCAAAATTACTTTCGACTTACTTTCAAGTGCTAGGGAGGTGATGCCAGTGGCGCCACAGATATCATAATACATCTGCCAGTGCTGAAATTTTAGTTGATCAGGATAGATGTCGGCGGGTTTGAGATTCCCATCCGTCTCTCTTCCTCGAGTTTCCATCAGCCCAAGATCCGCCCACCAACATTGCATCATAACAAGCCAAGTGCAGGAGACACGGCGGAATTGAGGTTCACAACCCATCGCTCCCGCCAAAGCTTTCGCTAATCGAGGATCCTGGTGCATGGGCTGCGAGGGTGCGTTGGCGAGTTTCATATTCAGTCCCAATGGCAGCACCAGCTCACTCCCAGTTCTTATCCAAGTTCGAAAGCTAAAGTAGTCCAGTCTCGTACCTTCCGTGAGTAAACGCGGGTAAATTGGCTTACCGTATCAAGCTCATGGGAGGTGCGCAATGTAAAGGATAATGCTGGAACCTTCGGTGTAGTTAGCGGTGAAGATGTGAGGCTTTGACGCCAGTGGGATATCGAAATGATGAAGTTGCGATGAATCTGAAAGCATAAAAGTCCCGGCATAAAGAATCCCAGTGTTGACGGAAGCATTGATGGACTTATCTAAGATGATTCATCCCATATCGTCGAAGAAAAGATCCTTGCCCCTGGTGGTTCTGGAGTAGTAAGTCCACTCTACGGGCAAAGGTGGGCTTTCCCTTTATGGCAATAACTCGGCCATACTGCAGAGCTGTTGCAAGAAGATGAATTCTCCCAATATTCAAAGAAGCGGGTGTCCATACTACACAGCAGTGCAAGGTACATTCCCTCGAGGGGAAGGCGCCCGGCATGTAGGATGAAGCCCCCGACAGTAGGTATAACAGTCAAGATGGAATCAAACAGTACGGAGATGACCATTGACCAAAAGTGATCGACCACATTGTAGAATGATACTGTCATCCAGGACTATTTCATTTTCGGAACATAAATCGCATGGAGCACCCACAAAGTATAGACGATACTATGAGGCCCCGAGCAGATATAGTTGCAAAAGCCACGAAATTGAGAAAAGAAGTGTGTTACAACCAAGGTAGGCTCCCTGAAAGAAAATGGAATGCTACAGGAGAGCTTTGAATTACCGGTCGAAAGTTTGTAATCCTGTGGTGGTCTGGGTCCTGTCGGAGTGAAAAACCCAGAATGCCGATGGTAAGTGAATCCTCAGTCATTCTCACTCCAAAGAAACATTACCAAAACAAAGAAGAGATGATTGATGTTGAGGGCTTTTGGTGTCTTTTTAGTGTCAAACAAGTGTATCTTATTATGTGACACCAATAAGGTATATCATATGAGCTGCCACAGAAGTTGGTAGTAATGGTTAATTGCAATATTGGGTTTGAATTGTTTGGTCGAAAGAGTTGTGGTTGTGGTTGTAAGTTGTAGGGGAAGGCTCGACGAAAACTAAACAGCAGATACAGGCAGGGCCCGAGCTTCTGGAAGTTCTTCGGATCTTGCCGAGGCTAAATTTCGCCCTCAAATCACCCCCACTGACCCATATGATGATTCCTATTCATCTGACAAGAGGATCCCTTTATTATACAACCCTCAAAAAGTGATTGCCAACTGAGAAACAGTTGACATTTCATAATCCACTTAATACCCTCCCCCCTTCAAACTGACCTTGCTCCTTTTCGAGACTTAGAAATGGGCCCTAAGCCTCTCGCTGGCTCGGCGGACTCGAAGAATAGATTCCAGGACTTATCCGGTATTGATATTGCGAAATACGCCAACCCCTATGATGCCTTGATTGAAGCATGCCATGATGATCCGGTATTTAATTTCTACTCCTGACATCATTCACCCCATTAGATCAACAGCTCTACATTTATTTCTTAAAGCTTTACAGAGTCTCAACCACATCACATATGTGTGTATCAACAACTAGTGACTTATCTGATTACATGTTTTGAACTGATGCCCGCTAGGTCTTAATACAATCTAAGTATGCAACGCACAGAGAAACTCGAAATGCTCAACAGAAAGCCAAGATACTGGCCTCTGATTTCCAAGAAATGATATTGGATGCCGTTCTTCAAAAGTTAGAGAGTCCCAATATTGAGCCTGGGTTTGAGGATCCCCGGCACTGCTTAGTATTCTGGGCGCGCCCTCCTCAGCATATTAAAACATTAGTTGGGATCATCCAACAAAAGCTGCTTGCTTTAGCTCCGAGTATGTGACGACCCACCCTATGCTTAGCCTCTGGTCCCATGATACTCTCCTCGTTCCTCACCACTGACATATATCTCAGACCTCTGGCTAATGCCCCAGCTCAAGTTTCACCTCACCGCGCTCGAGATAACCCATTCTCTGACCTCCCCTGAAATAACCTCCATCATTAATCAGCTTGGTACATCTGCCATTTCAAGCATGACAGATTATCTTCTCCAACATCGCGCACGTCTCATCAAGCCCACATTATCCTATGACGCCGCCGCAGTTGCACTCTCCTTTCTCCCCGCCGCCGGAGAATCGCTACCTGCAACTCCGGACCCATCGTCTCGTAATCCCAGAACAGCCCAAGACGATGCATTCACCTATCATCATCTTCGACAATCCCTATTCACCGTTGCGCGTTCTACGGGCGTTTCTGTCGATTCCCGTTATGTGGTTCCTAGTTCACATATCACCGTTGGACGATTCATCACGCAGGAAGATCATGACACGCCTGAAAAACGACGGGCTTGGATTAACTTGATTGAGGAAGTCAATGTGTGGCTGAAAGAGGAGTTCTGGCCACGGGAAGGAGGCGAAAGAAATGAGGATGGAGAGTGGGTGGTAGGACAGGAGAAGGGCTTGGATTGTAGGAGGGGTCAATTATGGTATGGCGGTGGCGAGACGGTAATGTTGGGGAAGGGGTTTTAGTATAGTTTCAAGAAGCGTGGTAAAATTCTCGATACATATTATAGTCAAATTTGTCGAGAAGTTGAAACACATTGGGATTCATCAGCATATATGGATTTAAGAATCAGAAATCTCTAACGGTTGGACTGCAGTCTGAAATTTTGGGCACCCTCATAAGATAGGAGTTGTGCGTGTTGCGCGCAATCCTCCCAACGGCTTTAGAACATTTTGAGTCCATCAATTCTCATCGACCATCAATCATAACATAGACCCCATATTCTTGAGACTCATCCCAGCCTTTCCCTCGCATTTTTCCCTCTATACTCCCTTCACTACTTCCTCGAGCCTCATTTCTTCCTACTTCCAAACCCTCTCTCCTTCTCCCTAATCTCCCTCTCCGCCTCCCTATACCCTCGTTCTCCATCCTTCAAACCATCAATAACATCACACACCCAACACCCTCCCCTTTCCCACCGATTATCCCTCTCTTCCACACACGACCTCGTGACCTACAATTTCATCAAAACATCTTAAATCCAATCCAATCCAACCCAATCCATCAAACAACATCAACAGTTCGAAAATACTCCACAACGCCTACTACATCAACGAAACTCCACACCAGCCCCAGCACGCACCGCTTCAGCACGAGATAAACAAATCTCCCTTCGTCCAAAACCCTTTCATGTCGTTATACACAGAACACGGTAGTATCAAAGCCCCTGATTCCCAATAAATGGAATGGATGTATGAAAGAAATCATGAGGAAGGGACTGTAGTGTAGATACAGGAATGAAATAGTGTACTAACTCAGAGAGGGCATGCGAGGAAGTAGATGATCAGAACCGGTTGTCCATTCACTAAAAAGCCGAATTCTGGATTTGATGTATTATTGTTGGAATATTACTAAGATCATAATAGGTACAACAGTAGTAATATTGTATATGTGTATCCTTAGAGGTATTCTAATAGGATTGGATATATGTATAAATGTGTGAGATATATATATAGAGACAATATTATATGAATTGTATTATATGATATTATATAAACCTAAACTGTATTTTCAATATCCCCCCATTGATTAAAATAATCAACTACAAAATACTACCAGACCGTATACCTAAATTCTATTCTTGATTGAACTCTAGGGTCTTATTAACTTTTATAACAATAGATAACGCTGTGATATCTAATCTTTTATAAAGTTCAATTATTCTATAATAAATATATTGTAATATAAGAATACCCTAATTCCTTTAAGGTTTTTTGTTTTTTTAATCACAGATACTCTTTTGGTATCCTATTTTGAAAAAAATAGTTTACAAATAACATTTGGAACTTTATTAAATAAACAAAATTATTTCATTTAAACTAACCTTAAATAATTAAATCCTAAATCTTTTAAATATTGTTTGAATTTCGGTATAAACAAAGTTTTTGTTAATATATCTATTATCTAATTTATTCCAG